TATTTTTTCTGGGATATGAAAGACACTTTAAAAGTATAATTTTTACAGCTTAGATCATGTAATTTGGTTAAGTATTAGTTGAGTTATGATAGATTTTGTATTTGAGTGTACTTAGTGTGACGAAAATCACGAATCGCGCGTGTGACAATATTTATGAAAATGACAGTAAGGGAAACCTTCCACCAGTTCAGTGTAAGGTGAACTGCTTGGGCTTCCATTTTCCAAGAAATGGGGATTGAGATATGAATAAGCTAACAATAAAATTAGAAAATTACAGTATCAAGAGGACTGCATGTGGAATAAGCAGCACTAGTAAGAGAAAGTAGCCTGGTGCAGAATCCTGAGCTGATCAGTTTGCTACAGTTAATGGAGTCTCCTTGCAAGCATATGCTACAGCCTTCATTGTCATAACTTTCCAGATGCTTTTCTATATCCAAGTCCCAAGAATTTGATGATGCAGCTACCAAGCTAGTCCGAGTCTGCTCTTTGTAGAGAACATTCGAAAATGAGCAGTCATCGTCAGATGACTAAGAGGGTCTGTCGTTGATAATGGATGTAGAGCATTTCATCTGTAGTGTGAAGAGAAGAACTTGCAATAACTCTTCCTAAGGTAAGTATAGATATATAGACTGGATTTGGGCTGTATTGGAGGTGAGTGTGATGGGAGTCATGGGACTGCTGCAGTTTTTGACTTGAGAAGCTTGGTTGCCATCTTTGCCGCCTTTGATCAAAATAATTCTTCAATACGAGTTGCATGGTTAGATATCCATACGAAGTCCCTCAAAGTGTCTGGAGAAGAGTTGGCCTGCCAGTCGCAAGTCGCAAAAAACTCAATTCTTCTGAACTTATCACATGACAATTAAAGTTTACAGTAATCATTTCCAATTTCACTTGATCCTCTGTACAGGCCATGATTTAGTTTCTTTTCCTATTTCAATCAATGTTTAGTAGTCCCTATTGGTGTCAAAATTTGCCTACCTTGGTTTGTAATGTTTCTGGTTTCTGACCATCAGGGATTGGAGATGTGGACCAAGGTTGTGGGTTGAAGTAATGGGGGCAAGCAAAATAAAATGGAGCCTGTAGCATGATACTGATAGGATAATGTGTGGAGATCTCGGTCAGTCTCCATGAATGCACAATGCGGTAAGTTATCACACCAGTGAAGTAATGTACAAATGACATCATGCTCGCTCGTATGCTGCAAAGTGATGAGTCATCCGCAACCGAACAATTGCACATTGTAGACGGTCCATCCGAGCTAACTCAAATGGCGCACAGATAAATGAGTGGGTTGAAAAGGTATTTCATTGGTAGACCCAAACCAATATCATTATACAGAGTGCCTGATGGGCGTAATCATTGAGAGCGTTTTGTCATTGCAAGACGTAGTGATCATGGATCGTGGGTCGCAAGTACCCGAGAAGAGAAAACAAAAAAAAGAGGAGCTAATGTACAACATCTGTCCGGCAGTAATCAAAACCTGAAGGCAAAAAAGCGAAAAGTAAAACCAAGAAGGTAAAGGGGCATGTAAATCCAAAGAATTGTTCAATTTGATACCCGGGGACCACTTCAGTTAGTCATGCAGAGCTTCTTCGTAAGTCGTGTCCGTCTAGAAAAGAATTTTGTCTGTCTTCAGACCATGTCGCCGCCAGAGGGAATTTTCTGTGCCTCTTTTGTCAGCGCATGCAAACGTGTTGTCCTAGCAGCTCGATTCCTGGAAGGTAAAGGATGACCAAATGGCTTCTCAAAAAATCTGTAAAAGGACTTACGGCCGGTTGAAAATACTATCCTCGCCAGTGTACACAAACGCATCGTATACAAATCCTGCAACGAGACCTCCAAGGATCGGAGCAAGCACACCACACCATAGCCAGTACTGGTGGCGGAAAGTGAATACTGCTGCGCCATAGCCGGCCATTGCAGTCAAAATACGCGGTCCTAGGTCACGGGCTGGGTTCACCGCAAACCCGGTCTGAGCACCGAGTGCCATGCCGAGGCCAAACAATATGAGGAAGAGGACGACCGGGACAAGTCCAGCCGGTGGAGGTCCGTTCTTCCTGTCTAGCACAGCTAAGAGAACGAAAACTAGAAGAAAGGCGCCAAAGAACTTGATTTAAGACCACGTTAATACCGAAGAGTGGTTGAGCGAAAATTGTGCAACTTACTTGCTCAAAGAAGGCCGAAGCTGAGTGACGAAAAAGTTAGTACAAGAAGCATAATCAACACATGACACAGACCATTAGAAAGATAGGATACCTGGCAAAAAGTCATCAGTAATCAAACTAAAACTTCACTCTAATATTGGACTCACCGCGTACGTGCCGAACAGGCCAGCCGTTCCCGAAACAGTGCGAATACCGGGTCCGCCTTCGGCAAGGTTGATGGCATCAACGTAATTCGCATAAGTCAACGCTGCACCAACGATTCCCCCCAAAAGTTGGGAGATGCAGTAGATCGGAACCTTCTTCCAAGGAAACCCGCGGTAAGTGGCCATAGTAATTGTAACCTAGTCAAATAGACTTATAAGTCGAGGCGCTAATCCGCGATGCTCGCGAGATACCACTGACCGCGGGATTAATGTGTCCACCGCTAATACCAGCAGAAACCCATGCACCAAGTCCAAGGCCTGTCTTCGCGTTAGAGTAGGGAGATGGGAGTAGATAAGTGAATGATTACCGATTCCCCAACCGATAGCAACAGACATCCAACCCTGCAGAACGCCCTCAGTGAGGCAATAACAAACGGTGAAAGATGATCATACCCCTGCTGGAGTGGGAGACACGTTCGGATTGTCAAAGAGGATCCCTTGTGCGTTCCCTGCTGTGCCAAACCAGCAAAGAATGGCGGTACCCAGAAACTCCGCGGCTGGTTCGCGAATGTTATAACTATTGGCACGAGGTAGGTGAGAGCATCATGCAGAAGAGTGAAAAAGTCCATACCGTAGTTTTGACCAGCGATTTGGGTACCTCAAGAAATAGGACATGTCGGTGGTGTACGATTGAGAATTCGGGACTTCGTGAACGTTAGGCTCGTCGGAGGAAGTCTGTCTAATCTTTGGAACAATTCCCTTCGCAGATTGTTCAGAGATCGACATTTTAAAAAGTTCTGAGGAGGAAGAAACCTAGTCGGAGGAGTGCAGAGCTACTGAATGCTGCTGTTCTGGTATCCAAGACCGGACTGTTTTATATCGAGGGCTGACAAGACTTTTGGCTGAGTTCCAAACGGGCTTGCTCTGGAAACTCCAAGTGAAATTCCCAAAGTGCAGAATGGACTTGTTTAGAATAGAGCTGATCTCTTGTCTTCGGGTTCTCAGCAATAACCGTATATTCGCGAGAAGCCCATGCCGGAGACCCCAACACGTTTTATATGCGCGCCATGCAGATGTAGAAGCCGTTGCGTCAATGGTGTAAGATTTCCCTAAAACGGGGATGAATGTCCAAACGGACATCTTCAATGCAATTGAGGTGGTCCGGATGACCATCTCCAAGATAACGATCAGAGACAAACATCGCGACAAGAGTACGAAGCCTCGTCGAGAAGCCCGCTTGAATAGGCACTGACTTGTCCGTAGCCTGTGCGGTTACAATTTAACTGGCACGCCATTCGTCAAGAGAAATGGGACTTCCTCTTCGGTACTATCGAATTGAACCCGCTAAGGGGGAAAGAAGCCATGTCTCAGATGCAGTGCTCCGATTATTGAATCATAATTCCTTTCCGCGATCGGTATACAACTTACTCCTGCCCTGACCGCGTCAGTTTGGAAAATATCTGAGACGTGGAGCGGAAGGAAAGGAAGACAAACAAGCAATGTGTTTGTGGAGGGTTTTCAGGTAATGTTAAGTACAGTCTAATTCTGGGGAGTAAAAGCATTAGTCATGTAACGGCATCGAGCTTGTGCATAATTTACAGAAGAGACTCATCGGCGCTTCTCTCCGAGGAGAAAACAAGATTGTGGTACGCCGTTGTTCTGTTCCATACTACTCTTGAATGAGAGTGCGCGCGGCCGGGTATCCATAAACTGAAGAGATCCGCGGCCGCTTTCTTTCCGCGTGCCGTAGACTTTTGTGGCGACCTTGGGCGTCTGTATTCAGTCTTCTGTGAAATGTATTATGTGGTCTTGTGAACTTTTTGTCTAAGAATATGTCCCGTCAACATCGCACGAAGTAACATTGATCCCGGCGCCCAGTGAACATACTGTTATCAATCTGATCAGTTGTTTAATTGAGCTTGTTACAAAATCACAGCTGGCTTTACCTTTTCGCTGCAGTCACTGCACCATCATTGCAAGCGGATTTCCGCCCAAAGAAGTTGCAAGCGCTGCTCGCTTGGAAGTTTTTACTGACCACAAACATGATGTGCGAGGTAAACAAACATTAGTGATGATCACTGTACGGGTACGAGTATGTGATGTCCGAAGGTGATGGTAGTGGAGCCCGAAGCAGAAGATAATCTAGGGTGAGAATAATTACTTACGTTTTATAACACAATTTGTAGCGCCGCCTCCGTAATTATGCATTTGGTCTTCCTCTGTATGTTTTTGTCCTTGGGGATGGTATTAAGACGGTCGAATTTGAAGATCGGTCAATGAACATCGGCTTTTTCGAGTAATCGAAGAAAAGAACATTCCAACCCCACATGCCCTGGCGGCGTGTCGCATGACGGAGGACGAGAAAAACATCAATATTACAGAAGTTTTTTTACGCATCAAGAGGAAACCTCACCGCAGGGTGGAGCCTCTAGAGGACGTCGACTCAAGATTCTCCGGGTCCGAGAGACCAAAGATGTAAACGAATTTATTATTCTCGAATTGAAACAACTCTCTGTTTGCACATCGCTTACAGAATTAAATACCCAAATCATGTAAGACTAAAAGACAGGAGAGGAAGGAATGCTATTCCAATATACGATATGCTAGAATGACAAGTGAAGTAAAAGAACCAGAACGTGTGAACAGCCTGAATAAAAAGATCGAGACGAATCGAAACGATTACGACAGCGAATTCCGCGAGGCCAGGGGATGAAGCAAGTTGAGCGAAATGAAATTTAAAAAAAAAACGGATGCACAATTCACAACAACACGATGAATACGTTAGGGCATGTAGGCAATCTCAATAAAAATACACCTTTCCGAATTTGAAGGCGAATGCAACTGAAGAGTGGAGTAGAGAGATGTGTACTAGATCATGTCTGGGGTTCACGCGATGGTCGGTTGTGACGCAGTCTGAGAGCGGTTGCCCCAGCTAAATATCGATGGTTTCAATTCACTGGCAGCTGGAGCCTCTGCGGCACGTTTAGGTTCCAATAGTTGACTAGTTCACCATCAGTCAATGTATGAAAAGAATTGGCCAAGAGGAAAACACAAACCTCCGCCGATACAGATCATCCAAATCACCGTGGTCTTTGGTCTTATCAAGACAGAAGTGGAGATACTGCTGCGCTTCAGCTACGTCTTTGAGATTGTATGACACCTGGAAGCGCTGCATATCCTGCACGATGCGAGCTAGCTTGTGATATTTGTTGAAATTCAAAAGCTTCTTATTTGGCTCCAACGGAGAAGCTCGGTGCGACGGGTTACCCTCCCGACAAAATGTGAGATCGGTCAGATACAGACCTATACAAGGCAGATCGAAGGAGGGTCAATGATAGCTCAGAAGAAAAGGGTGCCGGCGACATATGGGCGCATACATACCGAGGAACGGTACTGCAGGCGGATTGGTATTGCGAAGTCGAGTTCGATACTCGTGGTAATTTCGCGCGTGATCCGCTAGTTTCCGTAATACCTCGAGCTGCAATTTGCTCTTCTGCGCTAGAGTCTAAAATCAGGTAGCCTTGGTCAGCACCCCAACATTATACGACCTAATTGAGATACTCACCGACCACGTTTGGTGAAGTCGAGAAATGGTCGACGAGTCCAGTGCGGCAAGAATAGAACGTGGTGTGCTGAAGTTATTCAGAGACGTACATCGCTGATATTACAAGTTAGTAACGTTACGTTCTCTGCAGTCAAAGCTTAAACTCACATCGGCAACTTTGATGAAAAACTTCATTAGTGTTGCGCGTCTCTTCACATCTTGTTCCCCAAGAATAGATTCTGAGACCCATCCGGTAATAGCTGTACTCAGAGTGGTGACCGCCTTGATATTGACCGCGGGCGGCGCGCCGGGTCTCCCGAGCTCAATCATCTCTTCTGCTGTGATCGCAGAGTATAGTCGACTCTCTACCAGCGTCATCTGTCGTGCGAGTTCAAGCGCATCGAAGTCCGTCACAGCAATTGAATCAAAGTTGTGAGCACGAAGTGATACTAACAACGCCTTCGTCATAACAGTACGTGGGGTTTCAGAAGACGAGGAGCTAGGAACAATGGAGGGATTCAGGGGAATCCCAGCATCACGCAATCGATCATTGAGACGCTGACGTTCACTAAGTGGACTGATTGGTGAATCTTCGGTCATTGAACTTCGGGTTGAGATCAGATCATCAAGTCGCTGCGCGGGACCAGCAAAGACTTCCGCCATTGTCCCTCGTACAAATGACTGGAGTACAGGGAGAGCTTCATCATCCACACCAACACGCCAGTGCACCTCCAACCAAAGCTTGAGAAGGTTTTGCACCCTCAATCGTACTGGCAAAAGCTTTTGCTGAGACCACGAGGCGGCGTCTGCATCCGATAAACCACTAGGCTGGGCGAGGTTGAATCTGGCGATGACTGCCTCAGCAAGGCCGTATGCAGTCGTGAAAAGCCTGAAAGTCAGGAAGAAAACTGCAGAGAACCCAGCATCCGGAATCTGGTCATGGGTAGTCATTTTTTCGATAAGCGCTTCTAATGTCGCGCCGACCAGCTGACCCTCACTATTGTACGCGACATCTTGCGGCGCATAGTCATGGGACAAGGCCCAAGCCAGCGGGATATTGCTGTCTTCATCATCAGTCGTTTGTGGAATTGAGGGTAATTCGCCATTAAGCAGTTTATCTTCGAGTGATTTATGCGTCCGAACACTCCCTCTTTGACCCTCCTCGCTCGAAGGAGGGGCGATAGAATGAGCTTGAGATGTAGGGGAAGGCATGTCTTTCTCAAAAGAATTCCGACCCTCCTCCTCTTTGGTTTCTTCTTCGATGGTCCCAGAAAGGTCCATGTTCAGCGCAGCTATGAAGGACTGGCGATCCCTTCCAGGCATATCTAGTGGAGCCACCGGGTACTCTTCCTCATCATATGCAAGTTTAGGTGATCGTCTATCGGACGAAGACCGCTTCAAAGATTGAATCGTGGTATCCTCGTTGTCAAATTCGAAATCCCGCGTTGTCGTCGCGTATCCTACCTGCACTTGTTCATGAAGCTCCTCCAAGGTCTGAGGTAGAACTGTTCCACCACTCGCAACTGAAGCGCGCTTCTCCTCATCATTATCGTCCTTCCAATCGTCAGTTTCAGTTGCAAAGCGTGCGAGCGCGGCATCTTGCTCATGCAAGGTCCTTTCAGAAGATTCAACGGACGGTGTATTGGACTCCGATATAGGCGGAAGTACGATGACGTACGGAGGTGCATTAAGCGGTCGGGCTAGACAGGTCTTAATCGCAGATACACAGTCTGATCCTGCTTTTAATACGTCTGTTGCGACTTTGAGCAGGTGTCTGCGTTCCTCCTCCTCTTCGGACGGGGGTATCGACATGCTGGTCGCCATTTCCCGAACAGCGTCAGCAAGTGCACAAGCTACCTGGTATAGGTTCTCCTTCGCAGTCTCAAGAGCAGCCCGTTTCATCCACGGTATCGCCTCCACGCACATAACCGCATCAACAATCGTCAATAGCCGACATACAACGTCGACTATTTGGCGCACGAGCGCAAAGAGATGCCCAGTACTTGAAGCATGAGCGGTACGTGAATGAGCATGAACATGTCCAATAAAGGCAGCGATAGTGGAAAGCAGGCTATCATGTATCGAACGCAAAGCTTGCTGGACCTGCATAGCTGTACATGGACCTTCGGGGAATGGCGGCGTCGGCGGCGTACCCGGAGAGTCTAAAGAAGAAAAGGATGAAAAACTGGAGGAGCTACTGAGCGACATTTGACGCCCATGATAACCATGGAGGCTAACAGCGCTGGTCGTGCGAGACGATCGTGCATGGGACTGTGTTGTTGAATTCGAGTCCGTAGACGGGCGCGTCGTGTACTGCTTTGGGTCAATATCTGCAGACTTCGGTGTTGCTTCCGAAAGGTATAAATTGTCATCCGCTTGGAAACCGTATTGCCTTTGCACATTCTCAGAATCCTTGTAAAGTTCCACCGAATTATCATACACAGTCTCCGAAGAGGAAGTGCCAATAGCGTTCCCGAAGCTACGTTCAGGAAGATCGACGCCACACTGTACGACAACGGCGAGAAAACGTCGGACACGAGCAAATACTTGGCCGGCCAGTCGGAGCATAAGCTCCTCTTCCGGATCTCGCTCCTCATCAGTTTGGAACTCCAAGGATGACGCCTTCTTGCTCTGCGTCACAAGCAGTGCTAGATCAGCCAGAACACGCTTCCGCTGTTGCGCTATCACGGGAAATCGGATGAGCAGAGGTGCGCCACGTGCTAGACAATCCGTTGATTGCAGGAGTGCCCGTATGCACTGGATAATACATGCGACTGCAGGTTGATAGTGACTCGTTCGTCGGACGAGAGTCGTGTTCTGAAGAAGTTGTAAACTATGTAGCAAGGGAACCATCAAGGGATGTGCATGGCTGGCAGGTCCTAGCGAATCTCCACTTCCAGAATCGTATTTCGGTCGATGCATAGGACTTGCTGTACTAGCCCGAGACGCAAAGGATATGTCCGACATAGAACGGCCATGTGTTTTCTTCGACAGAGGCACAGGCCGATCAGCCAAGCTGATCGGACTAACATAATTGCTTGGAAACCACCCTCTCCGGCCATCAATCTCTCCGTCCCACCAACCACTAGGATCTCGATTAAGAACACGAATTATCTCGCCCGCACGAAAAGCTAGGCACGTAGCATTCTGCTGTTGTGGGACGAAATCATGGAGAGCACGCACAAAAACGTCCGAAATTCCTTCATCCTCTTCATCAGAATAGTATTTTCTCTGTTCGCTTGCCGAAGGAATAGCCGCCGAGTCGTCCCTCGAATCAGTCGTGTGTGGGAGTTCCAAGGATGAAGACGATGCATTGCCAGAGGATGGGACGGGTGTGACGAGTGAGATTGACGATGAAGTGGACGCAGTTGACAAGCTACGGGACCGTGTCCCGCGCGGAGACGTGCCGATGTTGGACGGCCCCGCAGACTTAGATGTAGAAGAGTAGATGACCCGTCCGACAGACGTGTCGATAGTAGGTGGTAGCATAATAAAACAACAGATAGCGGCTGGTGATGTCGTTAAATCGTAATGTCGGGCTGGTGCAAGTGAAGGCGTTGCAGTGGGGAACTAAGTACGTGGGCGAAAGACCGTCGTTCAGACGGTGGGTACGATCCGAACAGGGTATCAGACGCGTCCCAGAAAAAGAATCGTCGCGAAACGTGTTGCTCGTTATCGCCGCTCAGTTCCAGCACAGGCGGCAGAAAGCGTTGCGAGCTTGAACGCGAACCGAGCTGCGGGAGTACTACTACGAAGCGTGGCAGCGACAACGAAATGCACTAGAATGCGCCTCGTCATGAACTTTCTTTATCATTTCTGAATTGAAATTCGCTACGTACCTGTGGTGACTGCGGCTGCACTGACTTGCAAGCGTGTCCGAGCAGCGCGTCAACACGAACAACCGATGTAAAAATATCTCCGCGACGAAGGTGCGGCCTGCGCCCACGAGTCCAGCGATGACGTTCAGACTTTTGTTGGCCACTTGCGCTCGACACAGCGACGTGCTTGACGGCGTCAAGAACGATCAGCAGCAGTCCGTTGGCGTTGGGGACGAAAGTGACCACCTCCGCCTGGAGCTACTAGAATCCTGGCTCTAAAATGAATTGCTATATTAGGTAAGCTCGCTTCAGGGCTGCTACTACTTGGCGCAAGCGGGTCGGTATCAATTTCGTTTGCTTGTCTTTCTTTCCTCTACAGCACAGTCAGTCGTGCAGCGGAAAGCGTTGTTGGTATCGGGAGGTGACTCGCAGGGTATACGCAAAGCTCAGTCGACAGGCAAAAATGCGGGTCGCCTCGCAGGGAGGCCCGTTGCTGGGGTATTTCTTATAGGTGGTTTTTCCACAAATACCTCCGAAAAAGCCATTCATCCGTGCTTCCGCTACCTCTTCCAGGCTTGGCACCGTACAGGGCATACTATAGCTTTGGTAGTGTGAAAAAATCTAAATTGCGATTCGAAACCAGTCGGAAAAGAATTCTATAATTATCACACATGGAGAGTCTGTTTGAATTTTGCTCAGGTATACCTATAACTTGGGTGCTTCTGGAACGCACGGGAACCACGGATAAGTCACAGAATGGCTATACAGCGCTCAGTAAATCCACCGTTAGCCTATAAAACCTTGATTCCGAAACCATTATACGCAATTCGTCATGTTCCAGAAAGGTAAAGCCCTTCTCTTCCATAACTACCCGCCGGCCATGGGATTCTTATGTGAGTACTTCGTGACCACATAACACACACCGTCTTCCATCATGAGTGAGTCGGAAACTCCACCCTTACTGTGATGACCCTTGCCGATTGCACGCGGCAGAGGTGGGTACGTTTCCACACCAACACCAGGCCCAAAATCGTAGACAAATGCGCGGCTCTGCGTCGCTCCAAAAAGTCGAGAGCTTTCAAGTACGGTCGCATATACAGGCGACGTATCATTTCCCGGTGCGTGCACACTCCAGCCCGCACGTGGTGCTCGCACATCCCAAAACGCGACAACACTATGGCGAGCAGTTCCTGCAGCGATAGTGTACCCAGAACCTCCACCTGTTGAAACAGAGTATATGCTCTCTCTTTGCCATGGGTCAAACAAGATCATTGCAGGTGACAGGGTCGGCACTGCCTTAGTTGATGAGTTACTCGCGGAAGACGATGTTGATGGTGTACGCAGGTCGTAGAGACGCACGCATCCGTCGAACCAACCAGAGACGATAACTTGTCCAGGATTTCCGGGAAAAGACAGTGGAGAACCGGCAATCCCGTAGACCGCGGAAGCCGGCGATCTGACACCCAATTCAGAACTTCTCATGCTAGTCAGAACCACCGACGGAGATGAACTAAGAGCGGTTTCATTAACAGGGTATATGGCCAATGGTACAGTAGAGCTTGTGCCTATAGCGACATAGGATGCATCGCCAGCAGAGAGGAATGAAGACCAGCATTTCTCCTTGATATCAATTTCGGATACGATTCTTCCACGTGCCTCGTGGAGAGTACCTTTCCCCGAACTGGAGAGGCTGAATGACAAACTGCCGGAGGCCGAAATGCTCTGGATCGGGTCTTCTCCGACGAGCAGAGTCTCGAATTCTGGAGACGGATGCTGTTGGCTTTTCCTCATATCCGGTAATGTCACACGCATAACACTGCCATCCGCGAAGCCTGCAAGGAGTCTTCTGTCTTCCCCGTTGCCTGGTAAAAATGCCATGGATGTGACATCGTGTCGTGGCTGGTGATGATCCATTCTGTTGACCAAAAGTGTTGCCTCAAGATGGACGGTAGGTGCATCCGAAAGGCATGCTTGACTTGAGAAAGCATATACATCCAACTTGTCCCCTGCAGAAACGACTAGCCGACTTTGTGAGACGGCAAGACTAGGGCGCTGTCTACCACGCCAGGGCGGTGAAAGCGGACGAGCGACAAAGCTTCGGCATTCCCAGTTATAATCAGTAATTGTATTGTAGCGAACACGTTCGTACGCGGACCATACTCTATCAGTGCAGGAAAGACTCCATGAGAAACGTGTATTCGAACGCAAATACGAGGTCCATCCAAACTTGAATACCTAGATTATTCGTCAGCCAACCACCGTCTCAATATTTCAAACAACTTACTGAGTCATGAAGATGTTTGCATGTTAAAGCAAGGCAACGCAGAGATCCAACCCCAAGATAGTCAAAGAGTATTATCATAACATCGGCTGGCAGATCAAGCAACGAAATGGACGGTTCGGAGTCTTCAGACTCTACTAAGGAGACATTATTTAGTCTGTCGCATAATCTATCATTCTGTAGCATCCGGAATATTTTGAAGGGCTGAAGCCCGCTATCAGCCTTGATTAGTTTCGTTGTCGAACAAAGTCTACGTTAGATGTCAGACGGTGAGTGCATGCGCTCCATGGATGATGTCGTGTGTGAACACTGGAAGCAGAGGCTGTCGTTTAACAAATTCACATCGGCGGTTACGTAATACCTTCCTTTTGAATACGTCCCATTCATGATTTTATGTATTAGGGAGGGTACAACGTGAGCCTTTTTGTCCCCGCAGGTCTCACGCGACTGAGGTTGAATAGCCGTCTGCTTTGCTTGCGCTTAATGTGCGCTAACCCCGTATTCAATCGTCTAACCTGCGCATCAGGACTCACGTCTGATCATTCATCTCCCTCTGATCTTAGCGCCTCCGAGCATATGATCTTTGAATTGGGTCGTCTAACTGATCACTTTCATGAAGAAATTTCATCTTACTCTCAGACCTTCCAATTCTTGACACAGTCCAAACTTTTATTAATGTTTCCAGCACATTGCAATCTCCGTGATGACAAAAGCTTCTGCTCTGGACCATGACATGCTTTTTTGCGGCCTCGGGGCATCTCTGGGGATGAGTTTAAAGGAATTGAAGAAACGCTTGCCTGTACCAGTATGCGGCGACTCGGTCATCAGATGGGATCACCATGCGTGCCGTTTGCGTCAAAGTTAGGGTCATATGACGCTAAGAAGCAAAATACCGAGACCGAGGAGCGCGCACCGGAGAAAATATAAGAGGACCGCTGCTCAATGAAGCCTCTCCGTTGGGACGTCCCATCCCGTCATCGACATACGACATGTTCTGTCTCGGAGCATATCTTGGCGCAGCGGTCGTGTTCTCAGCACGGTATGGTGTCTCTGCTTTGCCTCAAGGTGCCTCAAGCTCCACCTTGGCGACTGCTACTTCACCTGGTGCAAGCACTGGAGTTCCTTCCATCACATTCTCGACGGTGGTCCCGTCACCTTCTGCCCCACTGACGAGTGACCTCCCGAGTCAGGTACCATTGCCGCCCATCCAACCATGGTGTCCCAGTGAAATCTTTTGTCCAGGACAAGTAAGCACTAGTTTGTATTGTTATTTCTTTCTTTTTCTATTGAAATGTCGTCTGTCAAATATTTGATACATCATTATACGAGGCAGTACTAGCATCTGTCCAGCTTCATATTAGCCAACTCATTTTATTTTCCATCCCTTGATTAGTTTGCTTCGTCCGTTTACTTACATTGCTCTTCTCTCTAGATTCTCCAGACTGTCAACATCGCGGATTTGTACGTGGATCCGAAAACGTTTGTTGACAAACCAACAAACTCTTCATCAGAGAATGTGGTCTCTGCATTCAACAATCTTCTCAACTCTGCCGGAAATTCCACTACGCAAATTACCATACAACAAATTGTGGACTTCGTCGACACGAACTTCCGTGGGGAAGGTTTGGAATTGGAAGCTACGGCCCTTTCGAACTTCAACCCGAACCCGCCATTCCTGAATAACGTGACGGATTCACTGGTCAAGTCATTTTCGCAGACTGTACACGGGTTTTGGACACAGCTTGCACGTCAGACAAACGAATCGACGCTCTGCGGAGAGGGAGGCAATGATTGTGAAAGTACACTCATTCCGTTGAACCACACGTTTATCGTTCCGGGAGGCAGGTTTAGGGAACAATGTATGTAATCCTTTGTTTTGTTTACTTCATGCGCACAACTTTATTTCGATTTACAGATTATTGGGACTCTTTCTGGATTGTGAAGGGACTCATTGAGTCCCAGCTCTTTGACGTGGTCAACGCAACGCTGCAGAACTTCATGGACGAATTAGATAGAGTTGGTTTCATTCCGAACGGTGGACGAATCTACTGTAAGCGCAATTACTCATTACCGGAGGACGGCAGACTAAGAGCTTCTTCCAAGACCTCGATCGTTCTCAGCCTCCGCTATTCATCCACGTATGTACTTCCGATGCCCGCGAGTCTCGGGTGAGATTCTGAACTTCTTGGTTTCCTTTGCAGATGCTCTCGGACTATGTGCAGGCGTCTCATGACACTAAAATTCTAGAACGCGCTCTCCCGCTTGCAGAGCGCGAACTTGCTTGGTGGCATTCGAACCGGACTCTTAACGTAACGAGCCCTTATACGAGCAAGACTTACGAAGTCTCAAGATATGATGTGAACAACTCCGCTCCTCGGCCAGAGTCGTATTTGACCGGTTCGAATCGCTTCTAATCCGCCGTTATTCGAATGCTCAATACATTGAATTTATAGATTACGAAACTGCGAACGGTGCTGACCTGCCTACTCCTCTCACTGATGATCAGAAGGCAGATCTATATGCACAACTCGCTACCGGAGCCGAATCCGGATGGGATTATACAGCTCGATTCTTCAAGGAGCCTCTCGCTGGAGGTACAAACAACACGAACCCTGGTTTGAGGACCTTGAATATTCGGAATAACATCCCAATTTGCTTGAACAGCATCCTTTGTATGTGTTTTCGTTGTCTCTATACGTGCGGTTCGTAGCTCTAATGCTGATGGTACTTAAGACAAGGCACATCTTCTCCTTGCTGGGCTTTACGAACAATCCTCTTCAAAGCAGGACACGTCAACCAAAGAACGTATTACAGCTCATAATTCAGCAGCGCAGAACCTGCGAGCCGCTATTCTTGACCTCTTCTGGGATTCAAACAAGCTCGCGTTTTACGACTTCAACCTGACGTCCAATGCCCGCAACGACATTTTCTCGACTGCAACCTTCTATCCATTCTGGACTGGTATTATCCCGGATGAGCTTTTGTCTAACGAGACTGCAGCCTTTGGCGCGTTTTCGTCAATCAACTTGGTCATGAAGCACTACAATGGAACGTTCCCGACGACTTTCCTTGAGACAGGTTTGCAATGGGACGCACCAAATTCATGGCCGCCACATCAGCAAATTATGCTCGAGGCGCTTTCGAACATACCTTCTAACATCTCCACCACGCCCGTACCAGCGAGTGGTTCTTCATTTTCGCTGATTCCTTCGGGCCAGCTTGGGATCGACGTGAGTGCACTTCCCGGACAGCCACTCGCAAGTGGTGGAAACGCAAGTGCTGGGGCAGATATAAATACTCTAAATGGTACAGTCGTCAACGGGGGCAACGCAACAGAAAACGAAACATGGGCCGCCACGCTCCAACGTGAGTTGGCGAACCGGTATATCACGAGCGCGCTTTGCAGCTGGTAAGCAACCACTCCAATCTCTCTGTTCCTCCCAGGCAATGTCGGAATGGCCCGAGATTGGGCGTCCCGCTGCACGAGTTCTATTTCTATGCCGGAATATCCCGTTGAACTGACGAGTGTCGTATTTATTCTAGGCACGCTACGGGTGGTTCTATTCCTGGTGTCCTTCCCCGTCTATCGGACGCGGAATTGAACGTTACGCAGAGTGTCAATAACACCGGAAACGTACGTGTCTATCATTCCTTCACTTTATTGTATTGATATTCAATCTAACTAATTTTATCACCTCGTCTCTTTAATAACATCACATATTACACGTATGACCTCACAGATGTTCGAGAAGTTCTCAGCTTCGGACGTCGACTCCGCCGGACGTGGTGGTGAATATACAGTACAAGCCGGTTTCGGTTGGACAAACGGCGTTGTCCTTTGGGTGGCTTCCAGGTACGGTAAAGTGCTAGCCGCGCCGACGTGTCCTCCCCTTCTAGCGGCAGGTGACACAGGTAGTAATTCAAATGCTGCATTCCGCGCTGTCGAAACAGCATCGGGTGCGCGTACGGTGATCCTCGCGGCTTTGGTTGGAGGCTCTCTTTTGACTTCCCTCCTTTAAATATCTACGTCATAAATGTGACGCTGGACTTGACAGAGTTATCATTCTTATTCTTTATTCCTTGCATATATTCGTTCGATGCGAACTGTTCGGATTAGTTTTAGTGTTTTCCATTTATCCTTTCGTGATCCTGATTGACGTTGTGTGTACTTAAAAGACCCGTGTCCAATAAATCGTGTTATTGTTTTCTTGTGCTCTTATCAGTTGCCAGGAGGTAAACAAGTCTGTATTGGACTACAGTATACGGTAAAATGTTTGGATCATTCTTATCACCTCAAATTCTGTTCTATAAAGAACGACGACAATGCTACAAGTTGGCAAGGTAATTAATCATATGCTGTATTGGTGGCCGCGTTTTGAATCTAAATTAACTTCACACCCTTCGTGGAGTCTAATTTATCAATTCAGAAAGGCGCCCTATATCAAGTGTCTGAATAATGATATGTGTTAAGTGTACAATCAGAAATAAGGAACATGTTTTACATGACTCCCGTCACTAATGCATGACACGGTAGCAATGCCTTATTAGAAGGAAACCGTGATGATTAATTATCAGTTCATGAGACAGGTGATCAATATAATACACACTACTACCATAGATCAACGGGTCTTAACATTTCTTGGTCCGAGAGTCGGAAGAATATGTCAATAACTGGAATTATTGGATGGTAACGCAAACGATCGCTCGTCACTGATAGCTAGGTCTTCCATTTGTCCGTAAGCTTGAGTTAGAGTTGAGTTGAAGAGGATAATAAGATAACAAGATCGGAACCCCGCGTTCCGCTCGGTGATCAAGAAATTTCAAGATTCTTTGCTGGATCTCATGCGAACCTATCTCCGCTTTGCACATCTGGTGTAGGAACGCGGGAAGATTTAAACGTGGACGAAAGAAGCCAGAAGAGTTATTCAAGAAGTCGCAGGTCTGTACCTTTCTTGCACGCTCCTCCAGCGTGTTCGAAGACGAAGTTGATATAGCACATAGAACTACTCTCCATGACAGATACACGAAGTTCTAACATCACCAGTGCGTCTAGAAAGAACAACGTAAGATGTATAAGCTATGAAAAGTCAGAACAGAGAAGAGCGCCACAATGTCAAAGAGGAACTGGGCAAAGTGGAGTTTGTGTACTCAACCCTAGGACATGAACGCTTATCTATATAGAATTTTGACGCTTCTGAAGAAGTCTCATGCATCTGGCAGATCTTGAGTATCTCAACCTCCGCGATCGCGCCTTGCTTCGCGGAGACTGGAATTTCCCGTATGGGTGTGGACGGCAAGCAATAGGTGACTTCAATTAATTGGCAGGAGCACTTGCAGGACAGTTGGAAAATTTTGGGGTGGCTTGGCAAAGTGGACGTACCTTAATATATACCAAATAGAGATGTAAATCCGTGCAACTCTCTGCAAGTTTCTGCAAGTGCTCGAACCCACTTGTTGGCACTTGCAGACGCGTCGGAGTTTGAAATAAAGAAATGTCTGACTACAACCCAACAAAAATCATGAGTAACGTGACATGGGCATTAAATGTCGATCTCTGCAAGTCCAGCTCTTCAATTTTGAGAGACTTGCATAACTCTTGGCATCTTAACTCTAAATTGCCGAAGCCCTTCTGCAAGTGTCTCTGCCAATTAATTGAAGTCGCCTAATACGTCTGACCTGTCAATACAGTTCTTGAGCTCTCTTCTTGCCCATCCATTCTTGAGAATCTCTGATACCGGAGCTGTCGTTTGCCGCTCTCCAAGATCATTCCCATTACCTTTATTTGGGAATGGGAATATGTGTCTTGTGGTGATGGTCCATTCCTGTGCATTGCGGGAAGTCCACTGCATGATAATCAATATGGTACTTGTCTGGGCAGCTCGAAATTTTAACGTTGTGGGTTTGGGCTCTCAGAGATGTCCTGCCATGACCATGTCTCTATTATTTGCTTTCCTGAATCCATTCTAAGGCACTGAGCCGACCTGAACAGATTCTTCTCTTCCGCGCTTCTCCCGTGCAAACCGCTGATATTTTCTATCTTCCACCGCGCGAATGCTAGTCGTATGCCTTCTCCCTCCTGGGACGTGCACCATAAGGAAGATTTTGAGATCAAGTTCCCAACGAGCATGAACGCCGATATCGAAGTTACCTTTTCTGGACGCATAACGGTCATCGATAGAAGGCACCCGCAAAGCAGCCACGAACTCTTCGGATGCTTAGTGATATGGCTGGTACTAAATTCAGCTAAAGAATATTTACCCGTTCTGAATCTGATAAACAAGACAAAGCGAACCAGACTTCATAACCTTATTACTAGTAGTAGGCCGGGGAGAGAAGCTGACTGAGAGGGAAAACGACCGAGTCCAGAATTCTGATATACATACCTGGTTTTTCACGCGTGGCCCTGTCCACAAGACGACTAATCTCCAATAAAAATATGGGCCGATCATCCAAGAACTTGTGATATATCACACAAAACATGCCGGTCGATTGGTCGCAATTCGGATATGTTGTCATATGCAATGCAATCTTGGTGACTTGTCACATGAAACCTACGTGTTTGAGGGAGACAGTAACTATTGCTGCCAGGAATCCGCCAGAACTTTAGACATGATTAGATTTCTAAACCGAGCAGTCGGGATTGAGGCTGACCAAAATGGAGTTTCTGTCGAGGAGCCAACGGGAACAGGAGAAGACGCTCTCCGCTGTGCACGGACTTCCCAATGATTTCTCGTTCCATCTCGGACAGGTTTTGGTTGCCTGAACTACTAGTACGTGGGTTTCGTTAGCGTCAAACGGTTCGTGATCGGGCAGCTTGGGTTTCGCCACTTGTGGCTTGTATCGATCGAACAGACGGCTCCGGATGTAGCGCAGAGGATGTGACAGTGGCAGTTCGTAGTAGAAAGAGATACCAATGGTATTACCATTCTCGAGCAATAGAACTTGCAGACCAGTGGCTAAGGGCGGTGTCTGAAATGATGCAATATTATACTGAGGTCAAAGGGAGAGCTTACTTAATATTACTAAATACGTTTTGACATCCATACGTCACAACTGCATCGTCGTCCTTCACAAGTGCCTTCAATCTTAATTTTGATACCGCGATACCGCTTTACGAACAGGTTATACCTGAACATTCCCTTGACTTGTACAGCGAAACATGGCACGGATTACCGCGGCTAGTACGACTCCCTCTTTACGCTGTTGCAGTATTCCCCATTTGTTTTGGTCAAAAGACTGAGCAGATCTATTCGGTTGGGTAAGGGCGGATGCAATATTTATGAGATATCGGATGCCGAGCGTTTCGTATCATCGTACGATACAATCATTCTGCATGTTATGCATCAATCAAAGTGGCGGACCGCCGAACAGGTCAGTCCACGGCGTCATCAACCGCGGTGGAAAGAGCGTTCTCTAACTAAATTTGCATCAACGGGATCAGGCAGGCGTTGTCACCCCGGGTTCAGGTACGCTACTGCGCAAATTTAGTTGCTATAGGCAAAGCCAAAAAGTCATCAATATGTCAAGAAACTTGAAGTCGTGCAACCCACTTGCTTCCGACTGACATTTCACCGTCCTTTCCCGATCCTTCTCTTGATTCGGCAGCTTATAGTTCATATCACATATGGATCTGGGCAAAATTCCAAGATGCTTGGATATTGATCGGAGACAACAGGTGAGCTACAGTACTACTTAACCTTGCGAAAAAATATAGCTAATGATATAAATAGCCAAAACGGGGTGATGCGTTGGTTAGACGTGATGGGAAATGTGGGAAGGAGAAAGTGCGAGTGAATAAGATTATGCTGCGGAATAGGTCAAAATCTAATTAGAGGTCCGTCCGTCCGTCTTTCCTTTAATGCTGATCCTTGGGTGGTGTATAGTAATTATGGGCATGTGTAGGCTATAGGGCGCGCAATATGCCAATGGCATCGAGTGGTACGGTGTGCGAATACGAAGAGGAAGAGGAAGACTAAAGAGCAGGTGAGCACTTGGAGTATGGCTCCGATATGACTAGTAACTCACTGTAGCCGATTAGCACGATAATGATACATGTGTCCAGGAGTGATATGTTGGCGATTCAATGGTGTTGGCCAGCGCGTCAAGCTCAATAGAAAACTGGGCCATTCGACTGTGCCGCAGCCTTGATAGCGCCCTTCGACGAGCCCTTGCCGTCCTTGCTCGAATGATTTACAGGTAATGAACTGTGCTCGGCGGACGTGGAGCGGAAAGTGAAGTAAGAGCTGAAGCCGGTCATGTTGAGAGTAGTGTAGGTTGGTGTGAACGGCAGATGTTCGATGGTGAGGGAAAGTGTTACGCGACTATGAAAGAAGTCTTCCTACTGGGAGAGCGGACGAGTGATCGAGGGCTTGTTGCATTTTTGAGTATAGAGCGAGTGCCCTTTTATACATAGCGATCATTGCATGGATAGGCGGCTCGATTGGGTTAATAGGGACTTCCATTTTGACTCAGACGCCATCACCGGGACGGTACCGCCACGCAATCCCTCCTCGATATGCTATGCAACACCAGGTAATTACTGTTTTAAGATCATCCCACGCGACGGCCAAGGAACGTATCAGCACTCGGTCTTAGGTGCAAGATGCCGAAATCCGATGTTGAATGCCAAATGCGAGACGCCCCAGCGTGATGGCGATTCCCGTCACAGTAAACTTGCTTAGGTTTCAGCGCGTCGCAAACGGAGAAGGGTATGCCAGTTGTGTACCTCACCGTTCGGTCGTCCTTACCTGGATAAGAAGCACCGCTCCTAGCCCGCGGTCTCAAGCCGCCTATCCGAGTATAGAAAATTTACGGAACCTTTTTTTGAGAGTGTGTTTCTTTCCTGAAGATCAGGAACATCTCCCCACAGCCTTAGGGTGCGCTGAGTAGGGTCTGAGTTGGTTTTCGAGTCACGACCGCATATCCAGAATATTTTTTTTGTTAAAGATTTGATGTGATCTCGGTTCACATTACCGCATTCGGCTGCCAGCCGATGCCCTAAGTTTCGCCTTGTTCTTTTTCCTCTCCTCGAGGTTCTCAGACAACTTCCGCACAGCATGCTCGCCGTTGTCTACGGACGTGCGTCAAATGAAGGTCGCACTTCTATCGATGTCGCATGAATACTTCACGGCATGCATGGTCGTAGAAAGCACTGAAAAAAATGTCGTTAAGTGCGTACATCGTGTGGTGCCACCGAGCCTTCATGCGGTGTAATGCAGTTCAGGGTTTGCCCAGCGATATCAGCATGCGCCTATTCATTGCAGTCTCCTCACAAGCAGAACTCAAATTTCCGGCGCCTTACCTGTGCCCAAAATGTTTCACATTGCGCGCTACGACTGAATCAACTTCTAGTACTGAATACAACTATGTCGGTGGTTCGCTAGAATGCTCTTGAGTGCTTATCGAGGGCGAAGGGAAGCGTAGTAGACTGCAATTAGGTCCATCCACTCTGAATGATCAGTTCATCATCTAATGGGCGGGTAAAAAGGCGCTAGAGATGACTCTGTCGGGACTCGGGAGTGTCCTGTGGCCGACGCCGCGTCATTCTTCTCTTCACAATTAACCTCTGGCTCATGCCTCATTGGTCAGATACTAGGCAATTGAACGCTCAGTGAAGATTTCAGTAAACCCCGCTGGATCTGCTCATCATGCTGTTCTGACTAGGATTTTCGCACTGACTCGACCTCGGATTCGTATCGCTGCGGTCTGCAAACCAAGACAAGAACCCTAAACAAATGTGATTTCGTACATGCCGCTTTCTGCCAATTCCGTCTTCGGGAATTGTTTCATCATGTGTTGCGATGTGACGAGTGCATGTAACTTTGCTCCATTTCGCAGCTCCGTGTTTCAGATAGGGTAAGTGAGGAAATCGGACTGAATGTTGTGCCAGATCGCACCAGCTTGGCCGATCATTTGCATTGTATCGCTGCATGGCTCTGTCTGATGAGACTTTAAAAACTATCGATTTGGAAACAGAATTTCATCCTCGGGATGCCGCACGACTGTTACTCGGGGCCACCTTTGCTCTTCGAGCGGTTCGCGCAGGGCAAGGTGGCTCGGTGCGTTTCTTGGCCGGGGTAGTGCATCAAGCATCTTGGGTGCTAATCCAGTACTTGCACGGCGCCGGACGGACTTACTCGATTTTTATTTATTGGCAAAAACTGTTCGGAGGTTGTTGTAACCTTTTCATAATATTTGATGAATGTGGAGTAAGCAGTCTGGTCCTTTCTGATTCCAATCCTACTATCATGTCACTAACGTATTTCGGCTTGTAGCCGGAATCTCTGCCTGAATCGTCATCCTGTTACGGAGATCCCTTCTACCGGAACACCATGATATAGTTATTTATGGAAATGCGTGCGCCATCAAGCTTTGTCCATGTCAACTTAGAAGGCAAGCCAATCCCGGCGATCTTTGGTTCTAGCTTGGTGCCGGAACTTGTCAGTACTGACGCCAACAGATGGGCTAGGGGTGGAATTTGAACGAATTGAGGAAATCCTCGCGATCCAGGAGCAGGATAAGGTCCCCGTACATATGCGGCAGCCACACAGGCCAAAACGATCCAGATGCACCTCAGTCTGTTCAAACAAGGCTAATTAGGTGGACACGCTGTCCTTGATTTTCCGATCCTGGAAACATTGCCGAGATGACTGAGTCTAGACCTTGCTACGTTGAATACAGAGACTATTCATGGGTTGATATGGTATGCAGACCCCGCTCCCCGGCGCTGACTTTGTCCGCTCTGTGGACATCGAGGATCATAGGATCCTTGTACAACTGAACTTCTCTTCTACCTCGATTGAGCTTCTAGAGGATCTAGGCTATCAGACGAGACGTTCCACTTGCCTCGACTGTTCTCCGTGTCCTATCACTTGACCGTAGGACTCGAGATCTCCTGGAAGCTGCTAATATCTAATTATAATTGAATTGGTGGCATTTCTATGCACGTTGAATGCTACAACTCAACAGCTTGTTCTACGACTTTCCTCCTATAATTTTACATGAAATGGTCAGACCTGGGTTTACTCGTCAACGCACCAACAAACTAAATTATCCTATTTCTCGGGTCTAAAGACTCGTAAAGCAGGTTTGGCATGCCCTGCCACAACACCGCCGCAATGTCGATGGGCGGCTTCATGACAACCTTATCCTGGTGACAAGCAGCGCTTACCCGTCAAAAATTCTAAAGTTTACTATACAATTAGTATTGGAGATAGTTTATGTACAAGTGTGTCGTAAATTAAACAATGTATGTACGTATCGCACCTTTCCGCGTTCGGGCATAGTTCGCCTCTGGACAGGCGACGTAAGTACAAATCAAATTGAGGCTGAGAACAGACGCTGAATAGAGATATGCATGGGACGAGTTACCATGCTGCGTGGCGCTTGGTGAATATTCATACGTATTTGGGAAGGAGTGACCTGGAGGCGCCGTCGTGAATCATTAATGAACATCATCGATCTTCGACGCCTATTCTGCTCCGTCTTACCTTCATTTAATGGTTTAATCTGCTATCGCCGGCTATTTCAGCTCATACAAAGTGGGATAATAGGTTTGTACGCATGGACAACAGTGCGATTCGAATGCGATGATGAAGCTACGTATTCTTCTTGATTGTTCCGATGTGTACGTGAGACCCGCAGAAGCGCTAGGCTTTGAGGTGATGCCGAATCCATGGATTCGTTCGAAGAACTTAGTACAGCTAAAGGAACTATGATAGTTTTTACGAGAGTTGGGCATGAGGACTTGTACAGCACGGTATCAATCGGCCACGTTTCTTTCTATCCGGTCATCCAAATATCGTGATCTTTCCATGTGAAGTACTTAGCATTTGTTGTTCACTACAGCCAGCGTGGCCTGCCTTGATGACCGACGATTTCCAGTGGTGTAGCACTATTAAACCTATTGAGAAACTAAAGATCTCCGAGTCGGGATTGCGCTGAGTCCAAAACAGAGTTGGATGGTATGATCGTCGAGGTCTATCCGCGTTTCGGAAGTTTATTTGGCGGAAGTAAATCGTCAGATCCACGGAAATAATCCCGACGTCTCAACATTTACTTTTGCATTCCGAGATGGTTTTCCACAGTAAGAAAATATTATCAAGGACTAGTAGTTTGTGGATTTGCTCACTAATACACGGTGAAAACACGGTGAAGGATGCGACAGGTCAAGTAACTGGAGTGAGTCAGACTAAAATATCTTGGTCACTATGAAACGACTCTGTGTCAGCAGTTTGAGAAATGACAAATTGTGTTTTGATTTCGTACATGTAAGAAATGCGTTTCTCGGATTGCGACAATTTTCTAAATTCTAGTTATTTCATTTGTTTTCATATCGTGTGACCATCGTTTTCCCTTTTACGGAAGTAAGTCGGCACGCTGATCATTAATATTCTCTCGGTCCGATCAACTTATTCGTCATCAACGCGACCTGACGAGCTCACAAGTTGAACTTAGACGCGTACTATCACCAGCAAGTGGACGCCCACTGCCATCCATAACAGATCACAGAAATGTCTCAGATGCGGGCGATTCTCGTCAAAAACGGTGCTGGACCCATCGAAAACCTCATCCTCGGTGAAACGCCAAAGCCAAAGCCATCACCTACGGAGGTCCTTGTCAAGGTGATTTCTCTCCCACGCTGTTCTGCTGCAGTAGTCTGCATCTCGCCGCAATCAAGGGGGCGCTGTTTCATTCTATTGATTGACTAGAGACGGAGACATCTACCCTGGATTGGCCTCCCCTTTGAAATGATCTCTCCTGCTATCTCTTGTTCTTCCTGATATTTTGGGAAAATACATTCTGACGTACTGCGCCGCATAGATCAAAGCTTTCGGACTAAACCGAATGGATCATCTCCAGCGTGAAGGGCGATACCCAGTGCCTCCAGGCGCTTCACAGATTCTCGGTGTCGAGTTTTCTGGTCATGTTGCTGAACTCGGATCCGAAGTATCGCAGTGGAAAATTAATGATGAAGTGTTCGGACTTGCCTCTGGCGTATGCACTCTCATTTCAAAAATCAAGTTGCTTGATAATTTATTCAATGCTTGGCTCAGGGAGCCTATGCAGAATATATTACTGTGCCCCAGAGTCACATCATGCCGAAACCTCCACATCTATCCTGGGTGCAGGCCGCTAGTATCCCTGAAGTCTGGTTGACAGGTAAATAGTTGTCAACCGCTCGACGTCTTGTTCTTAGCAATTCGACATGTTTGTAACACCGCTGATATCTCCGCTTGATTTCCCTGATAGCGTTTCAGGCCCTTGTCGTGGTAGGGAGGGTGAAAGCGGGAGAAGACGTCCTCGTTCATACGGGCGCTTCGGGCGTCGGAGTGGCTGCGAACCAGCTTGCTCGTTTCTTTGGCGCGTGAGTAGATCTGCCATCTCTTCCTTTGGTCTAAGTCCGTTTCGCCGTATTTCTCCGGTCGTAGCACTCCTATCTCCTCATGCATTCTTCTCTCCCATCTTCCAATCTCCGTCTCAATTTGACATCACTTTCTAATTTGGTCTACATCTGATTTGACACTACAGGAAGACCGTCTTTACCACTGCATCGACGCAGGAGAAGCTCGACTTCCTGCGTAATATGCCGGATGGTGGACTCAGCGCAACTCACACAATAAATTATAAGACTCAAGACTTCGAGCAAGAAGTCAAGAAGGCAACAAATGGAAAGGGTGTTGACGTACTGATCGACTTCGTGGGGCAGAGCCACTGGACTAAGAATATTAGCACCCTTGCCGTGGACGGACGGATGACGATGCTTGCGCTTCTTAGCGGTAAGTCTATCGGATTGCGTTGCCACCATAATCTATCGGGTGAACTCGGAGCCATCTCTCTCCGTCCTCTTGAATGCCGACTGAGAGGAGCCGGCGATGACATGTTCCATTGACGTTGAAGCTTGCCGCAGCATTCTTGTTTGTCCCAGCATTTTCTCTTGACATGCCACTCTCACTGCGGAATCGCACCATAGTCCGATACCATCTTTCATTGGCTCTGACTCCACAGCATATTGACATTTTATTCCTTTCTTTTCTTTCATTCAGGCGCCGATGTATCTAATTTCAATCTCGCTCCGATCCTCTATAAGCGGCTTCACATCGAGGGGTCAACTCTGCGCGCTCGGTCCGTCCAATACCAATCTGAATTGATCATCCGGTACGTTCCTTGTTCCTAATTTCTCATGTCCCCAATTACATACGTCTTCGACGCATACACGCCGTATTTTCCCTGGCCGATGGGATTGTGGCGCTTATTTTATCTCACTCCGTACTCTTTGCATTATATACACTTATTTGATTTTACTATCGTTGCCACTCGTTACCCGCGTACTTGTTTCATGTTTCATACTCTATTGTTCAGGTTCAAAAATGAAGTCCTCCCGGCGCTTGTCGATGGGAAGCTAAAGACTTACATTCATAAGGTACGTACAATTTACAAAGCGCGTGTGATTTCAACACCCTTGGTTTCGTCTTCTCTTGATCTCTTGGTAGGGATCAATCCAATTGACATTGAATAACATTGAATACACTGTATTAGTGTATATTCAATAATTCAATAATTCAATAAACCCGACTCGGGGATATTGATTGCGTTTTCCTTCTCTATTATGTATTATGTATCATTCCCGTTTCCCTGCTGGTTTCTAAGGGGCGCTTGATATAAATACTTCTTACATTTAAGCTGACTGTATACTCATACTAATTGTATACTGACCCTGTCAACGCTCTGTCTTTCTTTCTCCGTTTAGGTGTACCCGTGGACTGAGATCCAGGAAGCGCACCGTGAGATGGCGGCGGATCGGAATATGTGAGTGATTCATTTTTTCTTTCTATTTCTCTTTTATGATGTCAAAGTTATTCATTGCGTTTTATATTTTCGGTTGCGTTTCGTACTTTATTGATGATTATTGATGTGCTGATCTCACGATGATGCGCTTTGCTTTGTAGTGGGAAGATCATTGTGGAGGTGGTGTGACTGGGGATGCAGGATATGTATTGAAGAAAGAAAAGAAAGTCAACTGTAATGTGTAATACCAGATTGAAATGTCATCAATATTCTGTAAAGATTGGAATGATGTAAGTATTTATGCGCTTTGACGTGCCATTGAGTCAAGGAGTAAAGTTGTATGGTGCATATACTCAAATATGCAAGGAATATGCTTACTACTGATAAAGTACACTTCCGCCAACCCTCAAACGAAGACCAAGAGACAAATGTCAAACGAAGATAGACAAGGCCAAAAACATTAGGATTGCTGATTTCACTAACACTTCCCCATTCTCTACATGCAATTTAGAAGAAACAAGTCTATGCCATAATTACTGTCAATTTCTTAGTTGTACCTCATACTTCCTCTAACTTCTCCACCACGTCTCTCCTCTTCTTCGTCTATCTACTTTGTAGTCGTACAATGGCCGTCATAGTCCGTTGACTACACAATCTCCGTTTATTTGGAGATTACTCGAGAGGGCAAACCGAATCGAATCGATTTGGATTTGGATTGAAGTGCAAGATGCGAAAGAAAAGAAAAATCATTCCGAAGCCGTTGCTTTTCGTCTTTGCGTATCGACTTCGTACTTCGCTACTTATGCAGCTAACTCTCGTGCAAAGTGGAAGAAGTCAACGCTCGAGCCGCTCGTTCCGTACTTATAAATCTAAAAAAATGGAAATTAAAAAATTAGTTTCACCAGACCACAAGGCAAATAAAAGTCCAAGCATCACTCACAAAATGCGAAGCCACCCAACTCGAGAACAACGCTCTCTGATACGCCTCCGGCAACCGCGCAAGCAATACATCAAGTCCCACCTTCTCAACAAGCGTACCCGGTATCGCCCTCTTCATCACTCCCCTCCGACTCGGTACATCATCAAACAAATCACTCGCCTCCAATTCCGCCTGAAGCGCATTCAACGTCCCCGAAAGCTCATCACTCAAAACCGTTCGTGGTTTTGCTCCACCTGCACGAGAATGTTCACGCCAGAGACATTGGAACTCTGCTGCTGCATTTTCGGTTATTTTTTGTTGGATGTCTTTGACATATGATTGGTAGAAGGCGCTTGGAGGACCTGTGCGGTGCACCATGAGGTCGAGGTATTCGTCGTTGGAGAGGCCGAGACCGGCGAGAACTTCGAGCGAGGAGCTCGTTACACCACCTATTTCGAATGAATAGCGCGTCAGTCAATACATCCATGTATGCATCAAGGTACGTTAACGCCAAGCCAAGAATCCAGTCACGAAATGAGATAGAATGAAATGTAAAGGTTTCCCAGGAATCAATGATGCGGGAAGACAAGGTGAAATTGGCGAAAAAAAGTGAAAAAGATAAAGTAAAAGAAAACGGCGAGTAAAATCCAATTTAAATCGAAATTAAATTATTAAAAAAGGAAAGAAGCAATCACGATCAAGAAGAAAAAATCGTACCTTTATTCGCGGAACTATCCTTGAACAAAATCACTTTCCGCTTCTCGAGGTAAAGTCGTGCCTGCTGCGTCAGGAACAAGTTCGCACCCTCGACAATGTACTTGAAATGCGGCTTGCCCTCGCTGTCGATCAGGGAGGCAACATTCGAGATGTTCACTGCTTCGGGCCTGTCAAAGAGCGATTGAAACAAGAAGCCAGAGGGCAGCGTGTATCAGTGAATAGTGAATGAAAGCGGAGCGTAAAATTTACTCTCCCCACGAGTGGAAGGCTAGGCACATGAAAACGAAGGAAGGGTACACTCACCGACCGCCGCATGGAACGAATAGGTCCGCCTTGAAGCGGAAATGAGCCGTATTCCGGAAGTCAGTCCCATCCAATACCACTTCTCCCGCTACATACAAACGAAATTCAAAAAAAGTCAAATTCGCATTAATCAGTACAAATCTCCACAGAACGAACGAGATTGAAATCGGGATAGGAGAGGGGTGGTGGTAAAGGAAAGGAAAACTTTTTACTTACATGGCAATTTGACATCCTGATCTTCAACGAGGACGATATACCCATCTTTCCCAAGTTTTGACCTGTCGAAGTTTGAAATCGGAACACGCAGCTTGGCGAGCCGGATGAGTTCCTCGCGATCGAGACCTGCAGGGTCGGCGAGCACGCCACTGCCGTCGATGACAGCGACAGTCTTGTCACTACTTAGCAATATCTCGTCTGCGTCACATCAGCCATAAAAGAAAAGAAAGGAATGAAAAGAAAGACAAGGGAAAGTGTTTCAGCGAATTAGGATTTACAAGGATATTTATTACACGAGAAGATAAAATCACGCACTCGAGCCCAAATCACCATCCGGACCACCCGTCTGCACCTTCGTAATATCCTTCTCGCGTAACCCAAGTTTATTGTATATCCCGAGAACGTACTGCCTGACCGACAACGACGTCATACCGTACTTATCGTGCGGTACGCCTCCGAGTGCTTCTGCGCTCTTGCCTGTTGTGAATGACTTCCACCACGTTTCAGCACCGCGCTCGCGTGCATGTACTACATGTAACAAAGAATAGTGAGATTCTTGCTAAAATACTGAGAGTGAGAAGACTTACGTGCAGCCCAGTCCATCATGTCTGCCGTACCCTCTGCTCCGAGAGTTAGTGCAAGTGAAGCCAGTAAAATCAAAGTTACACACCATCTGGACCAAAGAACAAGATTTCTTGCTTCCCATACAGGTCGACGATCTTCTCCTTAATCCCAGGACTCTCTCCAGGGATGAGCAAGTCAATGACTGCCTGTATACACACACCAAAACAAACAAATCCCAGTAAGCAAACCGAGGAAAATGTACTCCAAAAGCACAAGATGGAGGATAAGATACTTACATCTACATATTTCTCAAACGTCGTCCTCGGGTTCGCTCCCAAACTTGGCAATATAGTCCCCTTCGCACCACCCTCTGGTATATCCTTATTCTTCAAACTCTGCGTCGCCGCCAGCGCATAATTCTCATCAAACAATTGTCTCTGATTAATCGAATAATTCTCCTTATTTCGACTGCGGACGATACGAATCCCACCACGCGCAACGTCTCGGAAGCGAATGTGGAAGCCACGGAATTCGGCGCCAACGACGAAGAACATGCCGAATGGCCTTGAGGGGTACTCGACGGCCGGAAGGAAGTCTGGTGTGAGACGGAAGGAGAGTGCGACTTTTGTGGGTTGGTAGAAGTTTGTTTTGAGGACCGCTCTGTATGTGGTGTTCGATTATTCAATTATTCTGGTTGATATTACTTTAATCAAGGAGACAACTGACTTGTTGAAAATAAGCAGACTCTCGAGGACTTGCTGTGCATGCTTGTTTGCGACTGTACGACGGATCTTGTCGTGTAGTTCCTCATCTGAGAGTGGCTGCTGGACCTTCAACCTCTGGAAGGAAATAGTCGGGCTGACAACGCAAATGAAGATGTTAAATTTAGAACTTGTGTATTTAAAATCGCGACGAAAAAGACATACACAAGGTCCTGACTCGATGTATTCGGATAATGCGTCATCGCGAAATTCACGTACAACAAATGCACCTAAAAAGACAATCATCAGTTTGGTTCTCTCTGTTCGAAACCACAGGAAGTAAAAGGTACTGACAAGCTCGGGGTACGCCGCGATTGCCTCCATGATACTTTCACGCGTGAAAGTCTCTTCACGGAACCGGCGCTTAATTGCATTGAGCACTTCGGCGTGCTCCGCATTACTCTCGTCGAGAATCCCGCGCAACGCAAGATACGCCGGTCCAAGGCGATTACAGAAGTGTTGTGCGAAGATCCAGCCGCAGTCTAGTAGAAGAGAATAACGCATTAGTCATTGCTAATATGGCAAAACGCGTGATGATTGTATAGAAGAGGAAACATACAAGCATAAGTAGCTTCCTGTACAGCGTGCTGCTGCTCGTTCGCGCCTTCTCCACGACGGAAGAACGGGTTATCCGGTAAACAATACAGCAATGACGCCTCCTTCACCACTTGCAGGATCGCATGCTCGATCGGAGGCGTCCCGGGTGGAGGATGCGGGAGCGGGTTCAAATAAAGGCTAACGACCGTAATCCCATTCGCAAACTGTTCAACATACTTCCTACTCGCATACAGGGAGTAAAAATGATACAAATCGGAAAGCGCGGAGAAGAGTGCCGTGGTGGAGCCCATGCGGTACCCGATAACGACGCGCTTTTCGCGCGTACCTTCGACGTCGAAGACTTCGATGACAGGTCCTGTACGCGCTTCGACTGTCCAGAGGACGGCTTGGTAGATTGCGAGCGTGTTGGCTGTTACCTTCTCGAGGAAGACTGGGTCCGAGACGCGTCGGATGTCTGTGCGTCCTTGCGCATCTTTGATTGAGTCGTGCTTGGGGAAGGAGCACTTCGAGATGAAGTAGCACCTGAGTTGTTGCGATGCAGTTGCCGAGACGGCGCCACCTGAACGGTACGTCTCGAGCCTGTAGCACTTTTCTGGAGTTGCGCCGTCCAGGAACAGCGCGTCGATTCTATTTCAAAAATAACAAATCACGCGGGAAAAAAACATCAGAAAAGAAATTCGGAAGAACAGAAGCTGGGTATATGCGCATGAAAAAACACATATGCATAGCATATACACGTACCTCTTCTCGCATGTTGCACCAGGTCCGGTGCTGGCGGTTACACCAGGCTGACTATTATGTATGAACGTCGCCCCACGTCCATCTGGGTTGATCTTCTCGAGTTCGATGAAGAGCGCACTGGGGTCATGTTTCGTGAACGCAAGGATCTTCGCACCATATAGCGCAAGGACGTGATCCGCGACTCCCGAGGCAGACTCTGCGGCGAAATACGTGTCGTCGATGCCGAGGTGGTCGTAGAACCATGCCACTTCGTTGGGGACGAGAGAGGGAGGGATGAACCCACCCGATGCGACGAGACGCTCGACTTCGCGTCGTTGCGCGTCTTTGCCCTTGAAAATGGGTGTGGTGTAGCCCGGTGCGTTGGTGACGACGCCTACGCTCGCTGGGCTGCTTGTCCCGCTGCTGCTTGCGGTTGGGGTGAGATGGGCCGGCCGCGGGATTGGTATTTTGAGATTAGCAGCAGCCTTGTCAGGCCCTTTGTCGGACATGATGATGATGGATTGACAAAAAAGGTTGAGATGAGTGTAAGTGAGGGGTAGGATGAAGAAATGCGGAGACAGGGTAGAGGTGTTTATGTACTGGAGGATGGATGTGTGTTAATTTGAGGCGACTGTGGACCGACGACCCTGCAGGTGATCACCGGTCCTCCTCCCGTTTTCGTTTCATCTCACCTTTATGCGCTATTTTGCATCGCTTTTTTTCTCCTTCTTTCCTTTCTGTGATCATAGTTAGACCAATCGATTAGAGACGCGAAGGTAAACGTGAATGGCGTGCATATAAAACTTTTGAGCATCGTTCGTCGGGACAATATCACGTCTTTCTCGCGCACGTTTACCGCGTCTATCCTCTCAATGAACCTCTTCCTCTGGCCGCTAAGCCCGCTCAAACCAAGTAAATGCACGCCGGATCTGACCCGACCGCACTACATTCAAGACTGCACACTCAACCTATCGGACCTCGTCCGCCCATCCACCTTATGCGCACATTTCGCGCCTTCACATAATACAGCAACACCATATTCATCTGGCCGGTCATGAGTCGCTCTATTGAAACTGAAACTGGTAGGGTGTCATCGTTCCGACGCCTCTTCTTCCGAGTTTCGTCAGGTGATCTATTTTGACCGTTCTAGATCGGATGTTACAAGCCTTTTCGTCATATGTTACCCTACTTTGCACACTCATATTTGATGTTCGAATGTCCGAACAGTCGTCGTTTCAATATCATTGACTCATTAAAGCCGAAGCCATCGAGCCGGGACGAAAGGAAGGAACCCTTCATTTGATAATTGATATCACTGTCCTTTCTAACTCTACTCGTCGTGGTGCATATAAACAAACGCACCCCAAACGTCTGACATTACGCTTTATGGACGTGGTACGAACCATACGACGGATTAAAGTAAACACATAGAGAGCTTTGTTTCGCCGATAGTCGTGCGATCGGCTTCTCAAATTTCCAGTCGCATAACAGTTGACTTCGCACTCGGAAAGTCGACGCCGTGTGTCCTCTACTTACTTCGGCATATACTCACTGCATGGGATATTTTGTTTCGCTTGCTTACTCTGCTACTGTACATGAAGCAACAAGCGTCGGCGCAACTTCTCGCCGCTTGAATTCGAAATTCCAAGTTCCGTGAGTCTCGACCACAGCTCAGGCTATGCCTGTCATTGCTAGCGCGGGGTAAGCTCCGTCCACAACCGCCACCTATTTATAATAAGTACAAATACCCACTATTTATAAACACACTCGTCCGTCGGACCAACCAAGTCCAATTTTATCCAAGTAATGAAGCATTACAGTATATATGCGTGTTTGCGGAACTAAATATTACCGCCGAGAAACACAGGGAGTTTGAGAGTGGAATTATTTTTTGAGAGAGAAAGAGAGAGAGAGGGCTACTCCGTAGGCGACACCTTCCCCGAGATCCTCTCACACGCCCACCGAGCCGTTTCCACCGATGCGTTAATCAACGGATCCAATCGTGCAAGGTTCCAGCTTTCTCTTTCCCTTTTGAGTTTTCCATCTCCTTCCGTGTCATGACGAGAGTCCGGGGGGAGAGAAGACGAAGAATTAGAAGGGTATGGAGGGTAAAGAGCCAACGCGGCGAGTGCAAGGTACGTATGATACGGATCAGGATGCGCACCAGGCGCTTTTGCAAGTCCACCTAGTCGGAATTGACAACGCGAGAGGAACCGTGCGTGCGTGAGTCGTTCGACAAAGTCGGATTCTTCGTCTTGTCGTTGGCGTTCGAAGTCGTTGTCTAAGGAACTGGGTCTGGGACTCGAGGTAGATTCGATGTCGTGTGATTGTGCTTGTGGATAACGCTTTGACGAGTCTGGCGATGACATTGTTGATGAATCCTGTCCGCCGAGTGCTCCAGAACGTAATATCCGCAATGCAGCTCCGCACCAGAAGCTGTAGCAAGCATCTCCTTCTTTTTCCGTTCGACCGCTAAACCCGCCACCCTCTACTTCCCCTTCTTTTCCGCTGGTACCTTCTCCAGTTTCTTCTAGGACGTACAACGCCTGTTGTTGTTGTACAAGCCATCGCTCTGTCCTCTTCCTCTCCTCTTTACTCAACGTAGCCTCGGCGCAGTGCGTCTCGGGTGCAAGAGCGAGCGTCGCTAGCGCGCAATACGTCGGGCCACCTAGATGTTCGATAGTTTAATTAGCAAGGACATAAGGACACACAGTATCGCCGAACGTAAATAAAATGACAAGGAACCTAAAATGAATGGATATAACGCAGGATCGACGCTTTACAGTCCACGGAAACGCTAAAACGCTATTTGTGAAAAGCTTATCCAAGGGTCGAGACCATGCACAAGCCCGATTCAGGACAGGGGCTTGATAATAGTTTATGAATCAAGCTTGTGATAAGCATGAGGGCGAGATACGAGGAACGAGCGATAAGCTGCTGAAGCGCGTGATAGTACTGCGCCTCACCAGGGAAGTCGTTTTCAGGGGAGAAAGGCATGCTCGGGAAATGAAAGGATGAAACGGAACGCTCACCCTGCGCTTCATTTCCGGGAGCCTGCCCAAACCCACCCTCATAGCTCATACACCCGCGCGCAAACGCAAGCGCACGGGAAACGTCAACGCCCGTCCAGTCGTCTAGCATCGCACAGATTGCGAATGCGGTGTATACCATTCGGATGTCGGCTTCGCCTTGTCCGGGGACCGCGCTGAAGCTGTGTGCGTATATGCGTTATATGCGTTCACAACGGATTATTATTATTATTATTTGAAGATGTAATTATTATTATATTTGGATTTATGGGAAAGCGGATGCGTACCTTCCGTCATCCTTTTGAGTCGCTCGCAAGAGACCGATGAGACCCTGTCTGTCGAGTTGCGAGAAGTCGTCCCGGAGAATCGCTAGACTGAGTAGCGCGGTGTATGTCATGATTAGATGCGGCAGGTCGGCATCTAGTGCATGCTACATAATCGTCGAGATAGACATAGTTCGTACAATGCGCAAAGATTTGTTGTGCAGGGGAACGACTTTAGACATGGGATTAGACACTAAAAGCCAGTATATGCGCACCGTGGCTTGGGCTTCCGACTCGTTAAACTCAACATGCATAAACGGGCCAGGACGAAATCCGCCTATATGCACTGCCTTTGTATCCCGATTGTCTTCACATTGATCAGCCTGCAGCTCTGCTACCATTCCGAAATGTTATGTCCATACCTGCGCTTCACAAGTCCATCGTCACGTTGCGTACCTTGATAAACGGAGATACACTCACCCTTCATTAACCCGTCCTGGCCTCTTCACTTGTTGCGACCAGATCCACACACGCCATGCCTCTCTATCTTCATTACTTATCTTTGTGTCTAGCAGGCCTAGGATATCGAGTGCGCCAAGACAGTAGAATCCAATCGCGACGCTACGGGATTTCGTTCAAAGCCACGTTCCGCACCAACAGTTTGATAGTCATCGAAAGCATATAGGAATCAATCCAACGGAGTATCAGTAACGCATTTATCATATAATGAAAGATTATGTTGAAAGAAGATTAACGTACCGTGCAGAGTCCGCCTCTGCCATCTCAGAAGGCAAGCCGTATAGACATCGTTTGCAGAAGTTAGCATGTGCAACTTTGTTGAGCGCGCCGAGCTCAATGTTGTCATTCATCGTCGGCATCCCCTTTTGAAAATGACAGCTTATGCCTATGGATAATTACGAGAATGGGTTAGTAGAATGAAAGCGTACGGAAATATGATCAAGCATTGACATGACATAGAACGGCATCAAACACTTATCGGGTAAATGTTTCTCACATCCGAGTCCAGATTGCTGGACAGTGGGAGACAGTCGAAAGATCAAAAGTAACACGAATTAAATTCAGAGACGGAATAAAAATACATTTATTATTGCACAACAACAGCAAAACCTTATGTACTAGTAATTATTATAGTCCATCATCGTACAGCTTTCGGGACAGTGCAACATAGAACCGTTCAAGGTCAAACTTCAATCGTGGATCCCCGGCCTCACTCTCTTTCTTCGCCTTTATTCGCTTGTCCTCAGCTTTCCGCACAGCCGGAGAGACAAACGCGGATGGTCTTGGAGGGGAAGACTGGATATCGGCGGAGCTTGGAGTAGTAGTTGTTGACGAGTTACGCGGGGAGTAAGGAACTTGTTCAACGATCCAGTCAAATACAGCTGAAAGTTTATCGGTGGATGATTTCAGCGCAGCATCCTCCGCCTCCCTGTCCTTTGACTTCTGTGATTCGTCTGCAGAGCTCTTCTTCTCTGATGGAGATTTCCGTTCGCGATCCTCTCGATCCTCTACCTCTTTTCGCCACGCGCCGACCAACCGGCTCCAGTCTTTCCAGTTGAAGTTCACATTCACGTGCGAGAATGGATCCGAGAGGCTGTTCTTCAGAGAGTTCGGGAGAGCAAGGTCAATATTCCATTCATTGTCAGGCCCTAACCCCCCTCCTCCGCGGACATCCCAGTGGTCTGCACCCTCTAGTATACCCAGGAATTCACCCCAGCGTGCGCTCCGTACGGTTACTAAACCATCGTTACCCCATTGTTCTTCTTCCGGATGAGAATGCTCCTCTCGTTCGCGAGCTTCAACGCCATCCAGGACCGTCTTTGGAAGAAACAGCGGGTGCCACACGTTCATACTTTTCGTTCGAGCAGCAACGCTATAGTAGCGGACGCGAGGATCATCTGGAGTCGCTGGATTAAAGATATTCTGCAGATATTGGGTGCTGAGATTTGCATATGCTGGCGAGTCAAGGACAGACAGAAGAAGCGTCGTCAAGGAAGATGGCAAGTTCGTTAACGAGAAAACTGTCGGTGTGTCCGTGGATTCGGACGCCTTCTGTGACACTTTTTCTGCCTGTCGTTGAAGCTTCCCAATCCCAATATTTTCCTGGAAAGTATGATGAATATCGATGTGCTCAGAGAAAAGTGTCAACGTACGCTGCACCAGTCCATGAATGGGCTTCCTCGGTGAGGTGTACAGACCGTTGTTAGCGAAGCTGGATTGTATTCCTTCGGCTTCACATGCGTAATAAGATGTCGACAGTCTAATCCTCCCATTGAATGAGCCACAAAATTGATGTCGCGCCCAGGGGCCGCTTTACGCAAATATTGATCTAACCGCTCCGCTCGCGATTCTACCGAGCCTGTGCTGCTATAGACTCAATAAAAACAGTCCTCATGTTGAAGAGCGTATACGTACCCAGGAACCCCGGTTACAATAACCTCTGCACCAATTTTCTTCTTCAGTATCTTAAGAATGTGTGCCCAATAATGTAGTTGAAGCATAGGGAAATTCGATGGTCCTCTAACGTCGTAACCATACAGGCCTTCGAAAATATGCAAGGGGTCTTCAGTATCCATGCCGAGGAGTCAAACCATGCTACATACCGTGACACAGGACAATGGGATTTCGAGGTGCTCGGATCGGGTCAAAGAGAGTCGGATTGAGCATGAGAGAATAAATGGGGGTCAGGGGCTCGTTTGGGGTTGTATGAGATGTGGGAGGCGTTCGACGCTCTGGTGAAGGAGTACTCGGAGGAGTGGGTTTCTCGGTTGGCTGGTTCTCCTCAACGGAGCCTTGGCTATTTGCCTCGTCGACGGAGACAGAATGTGCTCTCCGAGTAGGATGCGCGGAAGCTGTGTTCCATGGCCAAGGCTTTAAACGGCCCCAGTGCGAGTGTAAAAACAAATTAGCTAGCTCCTACGTTAGCCATGAAATGTACTCTAAGCAGATGGGAACACACCTGTATCTCGTTCACCTTGCCCCTTAACACTACGCGCTAGTAACGTTTCTGACCTCACTGGCGAGCCTTCAGACCTTCGTAACGCTTTCCCATTGATTCTTCCATCCTTCCCGGATTCACTTTCGGCCTTCTGTAGAAGATAATATTGACTTGACACTGTGATTGACGAGAACACGTTGAAGAGCCGACGAATGAATACCGCCACGGGGACAGGAAGAGAAAGAGATTGCATGTCGCAAATAATATCGCGGAAATTATTTCATCGAAGATTGAGTCGATTTATTATGGATGATACGATCTAGTTATTGCTTTGCGAACTGTCCTGTAATGCGATTTAGGGGATAAACGACCAAGAGGTGTGCTGATTTACTTAGACGTGTTTTGAGCCTTTGTGCACGTGCACCTCTCCAGAGCACGTGCACTCTACAGATGCCACCAGGAATGGTGTGGCCAACTTATTTTCCTACAGCAGCAGAAGGTCTTCCAGAATGGTTCTCACTTTGCCGGTGATTCAAGGTTTGATGGACATTGTATTTGCATACTTTTGCACGGTTTATCAGGAATTCAAGCCAACAGTTTCCGGCATAAAGAACTAATAGAGGCAGGCTTTTCACGATACTAGTAATCTCCAAGATTCGCAAACACACGTTCGTTCAAAGCAGACCAGACACGCATATACTTACGTTTACTCTACTCTAAGTCAGTAACGTTTCACTGATAATCAAGTACTCGTGAGTCTTCTTCTCTTCCAGTTACTTTCAGCACTGCTTCAACGATGTGTTCCATCGCATGTCATCTGAACAACATGCTGTAACGCATGATGAACAACAACAGCACACCATTTCTCTCAGACTCTGGCCACGCATTGATGTTCTCAAGTTGATTGAGTTGAACGTCATGACTGTTTAATTCAAGTGGCCCGGGCTGACGAAGGGAAATATCTCAATTGACATCTGAGAAGGTTGTCTTGTTCTGGGCGAGGCAGCTCAAAGGAATGTTGACGAGAAAGGATTCATTCTTCGTGAGAGCTACGGGTCGCATCGACTGCTCTTGACTGTCATCTGGAAAAGTAAGCTAGAAGTTACATTCCCGCAGCCTTCTGATATCAAAGCATCAGTCTGTTGACCGTTACGCTCCCTAGGGGTTCACCAGAGCATGCCCGATGTAGACTCACTATCTTTTTATTAATACAATGTTGTTGATTATCCTCTTTCACCCTCGCAACCACTCGTTCTCATCAGAATGACGCTCCCACTGTTATGCAATTTACCCTTTAATGTAGAACATAATCACTTCCATCGTGCACGACGGACCTTAGAGAAGTTGATTTCTAGATGCCAACAGACACTATGAATCATGACACAAAGAACACTTGATCTGAACAAGACAAATGGCATTGCGTATTGTCCGTGGATGTGGTTAAAAGGACAACACCTCAATCAATTAAGACGACTCGTGCTGCTAGATCCCAGGACTTTTTAATGGCAATTCTTGACTCGAGTCAAATCGTCTCTCTTGCATCAGAGTGGTATATTCTGCGAGTTTGTGATCAGGATTGTCTACTGCTCTATACTGTTTATTTATTCATTTGTTTATTCATATAGATGATGCATGGTTTGCTTCTTTCACCCTTAGAGTTTGTTGCCTTATCCCTTATTCACTGCCATATTCAAAGTTGCAACGATTACTGTCTTGGTATGTCTCTTACTCTGTTTTCTTAACGTGTATTGAATACAATGATGTGTGCCTTCAGACATACGACTACTTGCTGACAATAGGACGTGAGAAGGAGCTCATCTGGCCCTCACGCCTTTCTGTTGTCAAAATCCTCTTCCTACTGAATCGGTATATCCTGTTCGGCGCGATTTCCGGTGACTTATATTGTACAGTGAACGTCTTACGTACATTATCATGGGACTGACAATTCCACGTTCTTAATTGCAGTAATTCTTTCTCTTGATCCATCTGCTCGAGTGAGTAAACACACTTTCTCCTGGATTGGAGGTCTAATACTTGTACCAGGGCTGTATTACTGCCTTTCGGATATGCAGCGGTATGCCGAAATTTGGCAAAGCTATATTCACATGTCATTGACATGAAAACATAGCCTTCACAACTGCTGAGTATTATTTTGCAGAATGTGGGTCCTAGTCTCATAACACTCTGGTTACACATAATCTGATGTTTTAGTGGTCCTGTACACTCGAGCATATGCTATCTGGGGACGCACAAGAACGGCTCTACTCATGATTATAGCTGTCAATCTGGTTTATGAAACATTTACTGATGAATATTATAGCAAACTTATGATTTCCTTCAAACCTACAGGTCCTTGTCCCTCCTGGATTTTATCTGATATCAATAACTCTCAAAGCAACTACCTGTCTGTTCACATTGTTATGCACGTAAACCAGTATACTGATGCTTATAAAGCCGTTAATCTACCTCTCTTCCCTACTGGTTGTATAATAAATATGAATCGGCAACCTGTAATACCTGCCATGGTTACTGTCATTGTCTCAGAAGCAAGTGAGGACAAATCTTTGATTTCATTTATCCTGATATAAGTATCATGAACTCTTCTTTTACATAGTTGCACTAATAGCCGTGTTGGTTAGGGCCGGTTAGTCGACATGTATTCACTTTAATTGGTGATCTGACTGTAGAGCCCAGCCAAAATGCCACAATCAATGGTCATGAAGCAAATATCAAACAGTGGTAAGGAGACAGCTCTTGCTTTATGTTTGATCATGGAGTTGATCAATATAATATGTTGCTTAGGCGTCTTCTTTTCTGCTATAATACTCTGTGCGAATATTTGTTCGGCATTCTGTTCTGAAGAGTAATTGTTGAGCGAGGTACCCTTCCAGGCATGACAATGGCGAATATTATTGTACTTAGCGCGGCATCGCCACCAATATCCGACCTTCTCCTTACGTGTGTCCCCATTACTTTACGCTTTCTGAAATATTAATAGCTGTTTTTTAATAGACCACAAGCAGCTGTTCACAGTATATGCTGCAACAGACTCATTCTCCAGATCAAAGGTGTTCCGACTCAGACACAACATTCGCACGTCATTACAACGTCCGCCCCTCAGGTGCATCTTCGATCCTATGTAAACCATAGCGATGATATTGAAATGCAGCCGATGTAAAGAGGTATTCTTATCCTATGTTAAGTGTGCAATGGATCTTATTCAGCCGTGGTAGTACTTTTATCACCGTACATATATTACACATATTCACATTGCCCATTTCAACTTGTTCCATCATTCGATGCTGGACGTGCAATGAATCCCATTTGACTACAGTGGTACTTATTTTACTGTATGTAGATGCACACATTTATACTGCTCGTTCCAACTTGTGCAACTTTAAGCACTCTTGTTACCCTTTTTAGACTTTATTGAATAGAACTCTACTTCGTACAGGAACTTGGCATATTTACAGGCTCTGGTAGATTAAGAGACAAAGAAGGTTACCTCTGAAGACAACACGATATAAGCGAAACACGAGAGTGGGATGGATATAATGAGGCACCAACCCGGTGCCAACCTCGCCAAGTCTCAACATGTGGGCATCCACGACTAAAACACTCCAAAGGCAAAATAAGATTTATAAATTTATCTACATTAAACGATCATATTAATATAAATTAAATCCAACGCGACAAAGCGCATTGGTTAGTGAACATATGTGGTGGTCCCGGTCCAGCAAGCTATGCACACAATCCTAGCTCCGTCTAACCTCACGCCTAAGCCAGCAACGATACTTTCAGGGGTACAGTACCGTTTTCGAATCCTGGTTCATTAATAACAGGATGCTGGACAAAGCCAATCTTCCATGATATCTCTGGTCCCGGCTCAAAGAGGAATTTCGTGAGCAACATGTAGAGGGCGAGTTCTTTAACAATTTGATCAGAATTGCGTCTGGACGAAGGCTAAGGCAGAGGCTCACTTAATTCCATTTCAGCAAACTTGAATCCGCTAGAAAACGTAACGACGGTTTTAGTGCAAAGCACAACTTTAATATAACTCTTAGACGTACATGCAAGCACGGCCGCCTCCGAGGAAAGTCATCCTGAATAGAAAGCGAGTAAATAACAACGTAGATGTAGAATTCAATTAAAGACGTTACATTTGCGAGTACACTCCAGGCAAGTGCGCGTCGTCCACACTCTTCGGCAGGGGCTTGAGCCAGCGTTCTGGTTTCCATTCCTCGGAATCTTCACCCCAGATAGTCTTGCTCATGTTCGCGCCGACAATAGAGATGTGTACAACAGTACCCTTTCGGAGAGGGATCTGCTTGATTTCAGTCTTCCCGTCGGTAGACTTAAGTGGCCAAAGCAGTGGAAGGACAGTGTCTTTGTTGGTCCTGCCACATAGATGATAAGAAATATGTCCAAAAGAAATCCTACAAAGAACACATACACGCGATTGATGTGCGTAGCAGGTGGGTGAACACGCAGCGTCTCGCGACAGACGGCGTCAAGGTATGGTAGAGCCATGAGTGAATCATAGTCAATGTCGCCATGTTCCCTACGAGCCGCGAGGAGCTCTTCTCGGAGCTTCGTTTGCACATCCTGTCGCCTCGACAAGACATACAGGATGCGGCTCGTCGCGGAAGTAGTCGTGTCATGTGCTGCCATAATGAATGTACTATAATGCGTCCGGCGTCAGCCGACTCAATGTTTACTATTGCGAAAGCCAACTCACCTCATATGAGCTAAAAGTTCCCCATCAGGAACGCGGTCATCCCCTCTCGCTTCCGAGTTTGCTTTCACTAGAAAGGTACGTCAGATGGACTGCTGAATGGGTAGTGAAACGAACAAAGGCTCACGTATAATGCTCATGATGTCCTTTCCCCGTCCGATCTGTTCACGTACAGCATCATCGCCCTTTGCTAAAGCATCTCTCTTCTGGTGGAGAATTTTCTTCGAGTGGCCCTCAATGATATCTGTGAGTTCTGCCAACCTATGGACATCTTTCACTGGTACTAGTCCGACAAGCTTGCGTCGAAGCCATGCAGGGCCAAGCTTAACCGCTAATGGGAAGAATTGACGAAGAAAGTCGATTTTGTTGAGGGTAATCCTGTGCAAAATTACGAAAAGAGAGTTCAGCAAGGGAACACGGAGAACACGGAAGATATTACATACAGGAGCTCCTTCAAATCCTCGCTGTATGCATTCTTCGATTTTTCATTAAAAGCGTCAAATGTGTATCCAAATCCTCCTTGACCGACGAATTCAAGAGCAGAGCGGCTTATCCACTTCATGACATCAACGTATTTCTCGCCTTTTGCAACTTCGGTTTCCAGGATGTCACAGAGCTAAATAACAAACAATATAAGAACATTGCATCGCTAGATTATAACTCAGCGAGATATACGGACCTTATAGGTTATAGGATAAAACATGGGCAGAATGTCGCGCATGTGCTTTAGGGAGAATACGGGATTGAGCATTTTGCGCTGCTTCTTGTGCACTTCACCTGCAGTATCGGGGCAAATGGGAAGATGTCAATTATGATTTCAATCGGAAGTATGAAAAATAGCGATGCATACCCTGAGTAGCCAGTAAACTCGGGCCCATCGTGAGACCAAATGTTCTATGCGTGTGTTAGATTGCGTCTCATGACGCTTTGTAGTCACTCACGTTGTGAACACTTCCGTTTCCTCATAGATCATCGACTCTTTGACTAGAACGTGATGTAAAGCGAGCGGATCAGCCACAGAGAGCTCCTGGCTCTGGATTCAAAGATAACGGTCAACGTCGGATTGTTGACTTTCTCCGAGTTTAAATGATATACTCACCCCGTGAACCATGTCAAGACGGGCAACGCCTCCATAATTCCTGTACAAGTCTTGATGGAATGCCCATCCATCCGGACTATAGAAGGCCTCGAAGTTACCTGTCGGTAAATGGCATGTCAAGCACGACAATGGATCTACGGGAACGTCAAAATACCTTTCCACCATGATGTTGAAGGCGGCCCCGGTATATAGGACAAGTAGGATCGAGTGGAGAGGTACCGTAGGAGTCGCCAAGCGACAAAGGCAGCGATGGAAGCGGCTACAACCTCTCTGGTTGAAAGATCCATGTCTAGGGGGTCAGACGCAAATGCAGCCTACAGGTGATTATGGGGCGTGTTACCTTTATAATCCCGCACGCAACCAGTGTCAAAATAAATTTGCCTGGACTTTAGCGAGGCGAATGTCGCATCGACATCCCGAATCTTCGCTAATCCAAAGAAATCAATTGGGTGTCTGAGGTGCAATACATAAGATAGGGTCATGATAAACGAGCGGGAGCAACAAGAGGACGAGGCGTAATATTAGGTTCAGGAACACCTGAATTGCCGGTGAAATTGTAGCATGATTCTAGCGACTGCGTGCAATTACGATACCGCGACCCAGCAAAAGAAACCTTTGCCTTGTCAAGACACTATTCAAATCTCCCTAAGCAAACCAGTCTCAGAAGAGATTAGGGCGTCCCAAGCACCGTTGAACAGGATAGAATGGGAATCTGCACCGCCTTCGAGGACAGTCTATAGCTAATAAGTCGTACAAGATCCAGAAGATAGGTGGAACCTAGAAATGCATCAGAAGGTCAGGCTCCCGTATACGTATACGAGAAGCGTTCTGGGGTGCTTCTCATAAATTTCCCTTTCAGCAACGTCTATCAGAATGTCAATCTCCTCTTCTTTCTTCCCTAGCGACGCCACGCTTTGCAGTCTCTACAGCCTACGCGCCGTCATTTGAAATTATTGACACTTCTGCAAGAAAGTTTCAAGTTGCTGAAACTACCACGGAGAATAATCGAGCCGTCTAAGGAGCTGGAAATTCAAGGACTGGCAGGTCAAACTAACGAGTTTCTGGACTAGATTGAGTACGCGGAGGAATAAGAACATCGCCGGGTTAGCCGAGAATAGACCACGTGATGCATTTTTGCATCCGTAATTTATTTCTCGAATTCTAGGGATGCACAACTTTCTTCCGAATCCGATTCGGACTGTGTCACTGTGCAGATCGTCCATATCCTCAGTTCAGAACTACACAAGCGTTCGGTTACCAAAGGTGCAAACGTACTCGAAAACACCAAGACAAGTACGCATCTATTGTTCGCCTCTGCTCTACAGGACGATTGAAACGAGAATCACCCAAATACAAGTAAAAAGAATATCGAAATGATAGATAACTTATGTATAGCGAATAATTGACGCGGAAACATCGTATAGACTGCTATGTGCATGCTTACTTGCCCACTGGGAAAGCGTCTCCACGAACATCTTTGATCCACTGCGAATCAGCATTAGGGTACTACAATCGCGTAAGTAATATTCTTTCCACTCTTCGAACGAAATTTGCATACCTGCCAGACCATGACACCTGCATTCCAGCCCTTGTCTTTCGCTTGCTTGACGCAACCCGCAAGAGTCTTCGTGTCCATGAAGCCGTTGCTTGCATCCGCTGCTGTCGCAGGTTTACCTATAAGGAGCTTGTTTTTGTCAACACCAGTGCCCGCAATCTCAAACAAGGATGTCTTAGTCTTCGATTTGGTCAAAAGGCTGTCACAATCAGTGTAGTCATTCTCTGCGGAAGAAGATATTTCAGCTCAAGCCTATCTCCAAAAGGGTGATTTACTTACGGTTGTAGAATTGGACGTTGTACTGAGACAGGTATGTCAGTAAGCAACGAGCTATATAGAATTGAACACGGAGAAGCTTACCCAATCAATCATGTTGCCGACTTCCTTGTTCACCTTCTGGTATCCTCCACCCTTGTAGCTTTCACTGTTAAACCAAGGCGGGAGCGCTACAGATGCAAGGAGTGAGTTCTGTGAAATTGATTTACAGAGGAGACTACTCACGAGCATGGGTGATAATGTATTTGCCTTGAGGAAGTTGACCGCGAAGAGTCTTAGTGAAAGTAGCAAGCCATTCCTCAGCCTTACCATCACCAGCATTCATAGCACCAAGGTCTTCATAGTCGACATCAATACCATCAACGTTATACTTCTTTACCCAATTAGCCATATCGTTAGCAACCTTTGTCGCATCGGCACCTGCAGTAGTAGGCGTCTCCGTTGCACCGAAAGCAGAAACAATGACCTTGATACCAGCACTCTCATATTTGCTCTTGAGGCTCTTTCTTGTATTGTCATCCAGTTGTTGCCAGGCCATGGCTTGATCCGCTGCACCAGTGCTCAGGAGGAAGGATAACGCACTATAGGGAAAAGCGATCAGCAGGTAAGAAAGTTTGCGTCAGACTTCGCTATACGCACAAGACGTTGTAGCCCTGCATTGCACAAATCAGTTACGGCGTATAAAGTAAGTAATTTTAGGATACTGACCTCAAGTTTAGATACATCAGGGAGAGCGTTAGTTACCCACTTGTCACTGTAAATAACAAACTGCACATCTTATTAGAGAATGTTAATTATAAAGAGGTTGAACAGTGAACCTTTGGCCCATTTGAGGCTCCACCAGAAGATTTAGTATTAGAGGATAACTTATCAGGAGATGTTGTATTGGAAGATGAGCATCCACTAGGAGTAGAGTCGTCACCAGTCGAACTACCTGTTGGTGATGATGCAGAATCCGTTTGTGAAGGTTCAGAGCCAGAATCCGACCCACGACCTTGAGCAGTAGGTACAGCTGCTGAGGAACCTGACTGTGAGGATGAGGCGCCCGATGCACCAGGAGAAGGGCCACCGCTCACAAGAGCAGGTAACAGTGCGGGAATAGTGTGCGAGGGTGAAGACCCAGAAGCAGACTTATAGCCCGAAGATGCATCGACTGATGATAAAGAAGAGCCTGTCCCTGCAGAAGTACCGCTTTGGCAGTCACAGGGCTGAGGAGCTCCAGCTACAGCAGGCAGATACTGGAGAGACGCTAGAAGAAAAAGAGAAGAAGCTAGAGATTTGAGAAGCATTGTAGAGAGAAAGTGTTCTTCGAGTGAGAATCTACTGAAAGTGAATGAAGAAGGCTAAGCTAGACTCGTCAATTTATAGTCTGTGTCTTCTCAGCAAATGCACAGTACATTATGTCTGATGGATGTTGTCCGAGTCTGTATGACGAATAGTAAGCAAAACTGTTGACAAGCATTAGTATTCAAATGTATAAAATATTTGAAACAGAAGGCTTAGTAGGAACAGGTAAATTCTGCAATATATAGTCTTTTCTTAGAACAAATCGAGCCTGGGAGAGCTGTTTCAGAGTGTTTTTGCAACAAAACATGCCTGCAAAGGAAATTGTGAGCATTTTGCTAGTATGGACGTTACGTTCGAATGCTCAGAGTGAGATATAACCAGCTTCGCTTTTTCGCCTTCGGCGAAAGTCAGGGGGCTTGCCCCCTGGACCCCCTCTTAATAATAGTTTCAAATGTAATTTCTGTACTGTTTAATAGAAATAAATAAATAATTCTATTAGTGTAGTAATAAATATAATAAATATAATCTAAATACAATCATACTAAAGCCTCTTTAAATACAACATTATAAGTAACAAATTCTTGTCCAGGATCTCTAAGTTCTGTTGGAAATAATACCTTAACTCTTGAAACAGATGTACATCTTGATAGTGTAACATATAATTGACCATGAGTAAAACATGGAGATCTAAGATCAATTCCAACATTAGTTACAGATTGGCCTTGAGCTTTATTTATTGTCATTGCAAATGCTAAACAAACTGGAAATTGAAGTCTTTCCATTTGAAATCCAATATGCTTTTCAGATGGGTGAAATTTGATTCTTGGAATAAAATGTATTTGACCTTTCTTATCTCCAGAAATAAGTCTAACTTTTAGTTGTCTTCTAGTTGAATCAAGTAGAATACATCTTGTTCCATTACAAAGCCCATCTTCTATATTAAGATTTCTTAAAATCATTAAAGGAACACCTTTTTTAAGCTTTAAAGTAGAGGGGGGCAATCCAGAGCAAGTAATTGAACTTAAATATTCTCTTGGAAATATTGTGTTTGTATTATCAGCTCCAGTTTCAGTTAAAACTTTATCAACAGAAAAATAAGAAACCTCTTCTCCAGGAAACATTTCTAAGATCTTTTCATTTATAGATTGAACTCCATCATTCCTTGATGAAAGAATTGTTCTATTTAAAAAGAAATCATCATATTCAGAAGTATAAATTTCTTGTTCTGGATCTAATGATTGAATGTTTGGATAAATTGTGTTAATAAGTGATTCAACTGTATTTCCACATTTCATTTGTTGAGGTAAAGTAATTGCACCATTCTCTGCTGTGTGTTGACCATTTCCAATCTCAAGTAACCATTTAGAATATTGTTGATCTTCTTCACTAAGGCCTAATCTCATATTTTGAGTTAATTTGAAAACTTGTAATTGAGGCCATAATTGTGATCTTCTTAATGTTCTACTAATTATTTCTGCTCTTGAACCTTTAATAACAATTGGTAAAGTCTGTCTAAAATCTCCACCAAATACACATGTAATTCCACCAAATAATTGTTCTGAATCTTTAATATCTTTAAGAGTTCTGTCAACAGCTTCAAAACAGTATTTACTTTGAGTAGGTGCTTCATCCCAAATAATTAAAGCTGTTTCTTTGATAAGTTCAGCTAATTGAGTACCTTTTCGAATATTACATGTAGAACTTTCATCTGGTTCAAGTGGAATTTTAAATGTTGAATGAGCAGTTCTTCCTCCTTGTAATAAAAGTGCAGCAACTCCAGATGATGCAACACAAATTACTATAAGACTTTGACTTCTGAGTCGATGACAAATTGCATTATAACAAAATGTTTTGCCTGTGCCAGCTGGACCATTAAGAAAAAAACATTTTCCAAGGTTTTCTCTTGCTGAAACACAAACAGATTCAAAAAAGTTCTTTTGCTCTACATTCATTTGTTCAAATTCTTGATTTGCTAATGTAGTAAACTCCTCAGCTTGAAGTATATACTGTCTATGACTTATTAAAAATCTGTTTCCAAGTAATTGTGACCAATTTTCATTTGGTATTGGCATTGTGTCTGGATATTGTCTATCTGTACTATTTGTATACCAACTAAAAAGAAGGTATAAACAATAGTCCTCAATGAATTCTTGAGGAAAATCATTGTTTTGAGGTAAATACATTTGTAATTCATTAATTAGACCTGTATTGTTACAGTTTAGTATAAAAACTTGTGATTTGACTATATAAAATAATAATAGTTACCTTGACAAAGGTGTTCTTTATATTTTACCCAAAGTCTTCTAGGATTTGAAGGTGAACATTCAAGTAAAAGTAAAACAAACAGTTTTCTTAATTGATGAGGCATTTGATAACTTGATGCATCCAAAAGACATTGATCAATTTCATTGTCATCATTTAATAACCCAAGAGCAATGCATGCATTTTTGTATGTAGGAAAAACTTGTCTATTAACTGTTCTTAAGTCTTGAAATGATTTCGGCCCTTTAACAACAGTTAGAAGTAATCTTAAATAAAACTTTTCACCCTCTTTTGGAGATATAAAATACATTCTACCAATTGAAAACCCTCTTTTTCGTTTTGTCCATATTTTTTTTGACTTATTCCAAACATAATGTTGAGGAAATTCTTGATAAACATATTGTAGTCCATCTGTATGACTTCTATTGTATTTAAAGAATGCAGTTAATGTTGTATCCTTTTCTATATTTTGTTGCAATCTTTCAGGAGTATCAGTATTAGGATTAATAATGATAGATTGTTCATTTTCAAGATGAATTGCAAGTCTTTGTACTGGAGGAACTTCACTATGCATTCTAAATGACAAAATTCGCCAAACAGCTTCAGGTGCTGAAATATATCTTGAGTCAATATATTGTAATACTTCATTATCTTGTACTTGTTCAATTGTTGCTCTATCATGCCCTTTATTTAATAAGTAAGAAAGTGTATTATTATAAGTAATAAAAGGCATACCTTTATAAATATATTTGTGAATATATTTAACACTTTTTATTGAACCACAGGCTTCAACATTAATGTGACATTGAAATTTTTTTAATAATACTTTGTTATAAGGAACAACTCTGTTATTATTAAGTTCAATTTCTTTATTATTTTTTATCCAAATCTGTTTTTTATCTCTTCTTCTATATTTTGGATATGAATCTTCATCAAATGTAGTTGTATCTCGGAATGATTTAGGGAATCCCTTTTTACATTTCTGACCTAAATAAGAATTTTATTTATTTAATAAGTTCTGTCTAAACTGATTATAGAATAAAATAAGTATATAAAGATCTTACCTGGTCTACTATTTGATTCTAAACAGCCAGTTATACCTGTTCGACATTCATGATACATATAAGAAGCAACTAATTCAAATAATTCTGGGTCTTTTTCTTTGTCTGGTAATTCTGCAGAAATTGTATCATCTACATCTTGAGGTGTTCTAAGTTTTGAATCCTCATGCATAATTAATAAAAGATGCATATGAGGAAGACCTCTTTTTTGATATTCAATAGTATAAATATGTGCAACACAGTTCCCTTACAACAAATATAATATAATTAGTATAATAATAAGATAAAAAGATTCTTATCTACCTAAGACTTTTTTCTTCATTATAAATTCAATAAGAGCTTGAACTTTTGCATGAAAAACTCGAACAACTAAATCAGGTCTATCAGCTGCAGTTTGTCCAGGTTTTAATTCTCTTTGAATTTCAGGCCATTTTGGATTTGCTGTCATTGTAATAAAATAATCAATATGTTTGAAAAATCTTGCAATTGCCATTGAGTCTTGATAAAGTTGTTGCATTTGTCTTGCACTTCCAGAAAAACTCAAAGGAAGAATAATCTTTTTACCTATATTATTTAAATATTAAACTCTTGAAAAAAACTTAAAGAAAGATTAATCTTTTTACCTATATCAGTTAAATTAGTATCTTCAGGAAGTCTATCCATTAAACCCTTTGCAGTTTCAACTCTAATATGTTCTTGATTTTGAACAATCCAATTAAGATTATGTTGTTCAATTGTTGCCCAAGAGTCTACTAAGAATTCTTGAAAAAGATCTTTTGAAAGAAATAATGGATCATTTCTTCTGTTTTGTCTACAAAAGATTGAGTATGCTGAATAGTCTCTTAATGTTACATAACCTCTTTTTCCACTTGATACTTCAATATTAATATTGTCTTGTATTTCCTCTTCTTGAATTTCATTCTGATGATTTTGTCTATTCTCTAAAAGTAATTTAATTAGTATTATATATCTTAATTGTATTTGATTTATATACCTTCATCAATATATTTTATTGTATTGACAGAAAATCCGAGTTCACCATAAGGAAAAAGAACAACATAATGTAAAGGTTTGTATAATGGACTAATTTCAGATATTCTTTGCATATTATTTTGATTCCCTTGTCTTTCAATAATAATATCTCTCCATTTCTCTCCT